CCTGATTACAATAAATACGAGGAGATATTACTGCGCAAATTTCATCGATATTCCATTCGTAAGAAAAATTTTATACCTTAATTTAATCAAAATAATATTATAAAATTATATAAAAATTGTAATATTATACATAATTTACATTAATAAAAAATGTGAGTTGATATTTATTATAAAATAATATATCATTTTTTACGATCTCAATAGAATGATTTATCAAGTGTATTTTATATGTAAGATATTCGTCAGTGTTTCGCTGACAATGGCAAAAGGTATTTTTGTATTTCGTATGCGCGTCGAGTAAAAGACGGGTTTTTCTTGTGTGTTTCGACAAAGAAATACTATGAAGCAGAAAGAAACGAGCATGGCGCGTGGCATCTGTGAAAATGAAAAACTAAAATTGTGAACGAAAGGCATGGCAGGAAAAACATCGCGCCACATGTTCATGACTAAAGGAGGGGAATTAAGAATGCGCCGGTGGTTGCAGAGTGTCTAAGGAAACAGCTGAATACTCTAAACGGAAATCGTCTATAGGAAATTTCCTTGCCATCTTATTAGTCTCCTCAAATCTCATAATAACGTTTCCTCGCAAAAAGTGAAACTCATATTAATTCCAAATGTTCAAATCTCCAAATCTTCAACTTTCTAAATTCTAAGCCTACAAGTTTTTCAATCCTAAAATTTTCGAATCAAATCTTAAATTGCAAAAGTACGTGCGCGAAAATTGAAAGTCCTGCAATTTCAGAGAAAGAAAGCAGTCCGGATCTCTTTATCTTATGATTATTATCTCGCGGGACGCGCCGTTCCTCTCCGGCGATCGGTTCGTGCTACGAGTTTACGATTTCGTCGCGCGTGAGTAGTTTCGTCAGAGAAACTTTACAAAGGACCGCTAAAGAGGAGGAAGAGGAGCACAGGGAGGGGATGATCCTTCTGCTCGGCACGTGCCATCTGCCAAAATTGAAAATCTTGGAGCGTGCCGCGTCGGGGATAAAGGAAACGGATGTAGCGGGAACGGCGAAGGCGGGGGCCGGCGGAACATGACGCTCGGAAAAGATACGAAATAAGAAACTGGGCCCGTGACAGAGCCGCGACACACCGCCGACTGCCGGTTGGTGTCGGTCGGAGGATGGGCCTTTTGCCTCGCGAGAGAGGAGAAGTCGGTGGTTCTCTTGTGCTCTACTCCTGGGAAGTAGCGGCAGATGTTCCGACTCGGTTGGCGCGTGCCCGCTGCCACTTGGCTGCGAAAAAGACGGTGCCATCTGCCCCTTCTTCGCCCCTCCCTCCCCGCGATCCCCTCCCGGCACCGACGCTCGGGCCCGGTCGCCCCTCCAGGTTTCACGGCGCGCGTGCACGGCATCGCAGCCACGGGGCAGTGATACGAAATTGCTATCGCGCCACCGAGAATGTGCGCACAGGGCTTCTTTTCTTTATTCGCGCGAGAAGCGCTGTTGTTGACCCACTGGCGGCCCCGCCGGCGATAACGCCGCGAAAGCTGTATCGCGCGGTATCTGAATTGTCGTTCAACACTGCGAGCGCTCAGGATGATTGCGCCGGGTGAGTATTTCATAGAACGAGCGATAGAAATCTTTTTCCGCCGACGAAAGCTGTGCGCCGCGTGCGATTAATACCGGCGCGATTCGGTTAAACTTGTTCACGCTTTCTCTCTATTTTACTCGTTACAAATTATCTATTTGCAATTAAATATTCTTAATTTGCTTGCGGCAAATCTTCCCGCCCATACAATAACGTTTGCAGAAGAAAAAAATTAGACAACTGTACGGCTTTATTTTAAGTCTGAATTGTGAACAACGTGCAAAGTAGAAAAATTGCGTAAATCTCATCAATATTCCGTTTATGGTTAGACTTTAATTTTAATTTTAAAAAATTGTAAAAGTTTATCATTATGCAAAGTTTGAATTAATTTTATAGAATGTAAAACTTTTCTTTTATGTCAAGATAATCCATCTCTAACAGTATCGATATGTAACGTTGTCTTCGAGAGGGTCCTTATCGATTTTTCGGCTTGGATAAAGCGTAACCATGTAATATCGGACGCGCGACGGAGAAGTATAATTACCGAATTAAGCGATCCTCGATCGAGCGTATGCGTAGCATTCGAGGTGCCGTGCCGTATACACGTGCACGCGAGCGAGCACACGCGGTATGGTAATGCGCGCCACGCGTACGCGCGCATTCTCGGCGAGCGAAACGTGAACTCAACCTGACGCCGCAAAATAGGGGTCGATTTCCGCCTGTCGCGGAAATCGGAGACAGCTCACTCGCTCTATTCACCGCGTGCAGCAGCGCGAATAAAACGCGGCCGAACGCCGAAAATCGGTCCGGTGCGTGAAACGTGCACTTGAGAAGCGCATAGCATATGGCATGCATCGGATGCAATAGTGTTGCTGCTGCAGCGACAGCAGCCGTCGCACAGTTGTCTAGCTTTTTCTTCTTCTACGAACGTCATTGTGTGGGCGGAGAGATTCGCCGCTCGTCCATTATGAAAAGAAAGAAAAAAAAGAAGAAGAAATCCACTCTGTGCCGCGTGTTGTATTTGAAATTAGCAGAATTCAAGCTAAACGCTTCTCCTTTGTACGAAAACAATCGTCAATTTGATTACGTTTTTGCAAAGTAATGCAAAATACATAAATGTAAAATTCAATTGAGTTGAATCGATTTAAGGATATAATCGCAAGGATTAATTAAGATCGAGATTGTCGAGTTCGAAAATATCTTCCGCGAGAATAGACACAAAATTGCTATCTTTCATCGCATGCAGATGTTGGGTCTGTCGCGGCCAACCGCGCTAATTCGCCGGGAATTGCAAGTCGGTGTCCGCCGCACGGGTCCAAAAACGAAGAAGCAACAGATGGCACCGACCTTGTCGCGGCGCGCGGATGCTGCGGCAACACGCGGCTGCATCTGGCCACGGCGCCTTTGTCAATGGCACGTGCTACGCGTCCTATATATCGCGATCTACACCGAATGTCCCGCCGCCGACCATATTGAGCCGGCCTGTCTCCCGGCCTCAAGCTGGATAGGACTCTCGGCTTTCCGGCGTGAAAAGATTTTCCTGTCCGGAGGCGGGCCATCTGCGTTCCATCAAAAAAAATCTCGATTTCAGGTAGCACCGCGGAGAAAATCATACCCCTCTTATTTCAATAGTTAAAAAGAGGAGACTCTTCCATCCGGAACTATTTTGTAGTCACCAGCGGCTCGAGAGCCGCCTAGTGTACAATAATTGATATGTGAATGCCAGCTGGGGGGGTTGGCATCACAGAATTCATGACAGACGCGAATGAATCAAACGAATGTGCGTTTATTCGCGATTGACGAAAACAGAGGTCACACGATCGATGTTAAGCGCCATCGGTGTGGATTTCGAAAAAGATGGTTGCAGGAATAATATTTGGTGAAATTGATATCGAATAGCGAGAATTGATATTAAATTATTCGATTAAATAGCTAATCTTTGTTACGACAACCGAAGAAATGATAGTATTCTCTATTACGTTGCATATATCAGCTTATCATGCGCCATTGATGTTAAAATATGAATCCGCGTGTCTCATGTTCAAAGTATTTTATACCGCGAGAGATGTTTCATATTTAGGTAAATGTAAGTTCACGCCGCAATTGTAAATCGATGCCCGCCGAGCATAATGCAAAATCGATTGGCCAGTCGATTCAATGAATTGCGCAGCTCTCTCGTGTTTCAATGATAATGGCACGAGCCATATTATCAAATTCTGAATTGATACGTAATACAATCGGCTTTCGGAAATATCGCTATCACACACTGAAAAAGAATTGTTTGCTGCTTGAGCAACGAGGCAATAATTATCGACGCTTGCGTCCCACAAATCACAATCAAGAAAATCTGTGCACGTACTTTCATACTCGCTCCGACCTGACAATCCTGATCAAGGATCCTCGCGCATCGTGCATTTCGGCGCCCGTGCGATCAAAAACAGGTGCAAGGCCTCGATGTAGCGAGAGAGAAAGAGAGAGAGGGAGAGAGAAAGAGAGACTCGAGGGATGTCGCGCGGGCAACGAAGAATTTTGGATAAACCGGCGTGATTGGTGCGTCGTGTGGGCAGCTGCTCGTAGTCCCCAATTAAAGTAAGTGTTGTGTCGTAACAGGTGTCGCGTGATTATCAGGTACGAGAACGAGACAGGACCCGGGCCAATAAATATCTCTCGCTATATTCTAGCCGATATATATATATATATGCAGCATATATATAGAATATATATTATATCCTATATGCGATCGCCTGTGAGCATGCAATTCTGCCATCGAATACGTCAAACTCGCAAATCGTCTCTGATATGCGCAGATGCACCTGCAGATTTCTACTTTATTAATAATCCGGCGGAGCAGAAAATTACACGCGCGTCTTAATAACGCGTGCTTTATCGAAAAGTTACGACTTAACGGCTCATTCGATCGCGCCGCGTGCTCACTTATCTCCTATTATCAGATGCACGCGCTCTGAGCTTCTAAAAAAAAAACTGCGTTCACTTCGCGATCTTAATTCGAAATATCAATTATCGAGTTCCCTCGTGAATTTAAAAAAAAATTATATTCATAAGAAAGTGGAAGGGAGAATATATATTCACTTGAAAAAAAATGCTAATGAAATAAACAACGACACGAGCGACGTAAAAGGGGGGACAGGACAAATATCACGAAAAGTTACCATTTCTTGAGTAACGAGCGATGGAATCACGGGTCTTCCCGCCCTCCTCGGAGGAAGTTATAAAATCTTGCTGCTCGGATATGTGCCGCACGAGGGTACCGTGCACATTGCCCGACGAGGGCCCGGCGAGCAGCAACAACAACTCGGTCGAATCGCAGAAACGAAGGGAGACACGCATGCATGAGCGGGAGCGTAGCCTCACGTGGATGATATCTCGCTCGTTCAGCAAGCACACGTGCGTACACGCGCGCACGGCACCATTTCCCACCTACCAACCTACAAACGTAACGCTGGACTTACCCGAAGCAGAGGCGTAAGGACGAGGCGCTCTATCCTAGGCGCGCGGTGGTAGCACGTGCTCAAATCCGAGAGCAGCTGCACGCTCGCGAAGACAGACAGGAAGGATATTCGCCTTCGACCCCTCCCTTCGTGCACCACTTCACCACCTTTCTATCTCATTCTCCTCGAGGAGATCCGGAACACCTTTTTTCTCTCCTCCCGGTGCTACTGGTGCGGCGAAGAAAGGAAAACCGCTGGCACGTGGACACGCACATAAATCGTTTTGACGGAATAATCGGAAAATGTCGGGTCAATATCGTGCGTTTTGTGGAGACTCACATAATCACTAGAACATAAGCAAATTAATACAAATTATAAATGTGATCAATTATGACAAAACTCAATTTTTCCATCTATCTATAATTATGACTCTTAAATATTTAAATGGTCCTTTTCAAAATTAGAAATAAAATTATTTAAAAAGGAAACAAATTCCGAGATGATACATTTGGAGATTGTTTAAAAAAGACGTCGTTGAAATCGCTTGGTATTATTATTCCCAACTAAACGAACTTGAACATTTCAGTTTTCGTGAAAGCTCATTCAGTTCATTAAACCGATCGAATGTCGTGCTCTTCAATTTTCCAGCGTTATACTTGCTTTCGCACACGCAAAGAAACTAGAGCTAGAAAACGTTCTCAACCTCGTCAAGTTTAACCGCGTACGGCCCATTTGCATTCTATGTATAGTTACGAGGTATTAGTTATGCGCGAGAGTTCTGTTCAGGGCTCTCCCTCCCACAGCGCTAAATATGCAGATTCGATTACCGCGTTTCGAATAAAATGCAATCAATGCTTCACGGTCGCGGGTTAATTAGGGTATTCCGGAACACAGCTACTTTCTAGGACCATAGGCTCGTCCTGGCGGAACAGAGCCGCCTCTCCCTTTCTCGTTTTTTACTCAAAATTACGCGAATTCGAAAAAAAAAACTTCGCATCAGCGTTACACATTTATCAACGTCGAGTGCATGCACGGAGAAGAATGTACTTTAGCATAATAAAGTTCCGAATAATTGTTTAAACGTCGATTAATCTTCGTAAATATAACGTTTACCAAAAAATTTATCATAGTTACACAATTTTTAAAATATATCGTTACTTTTTAATTAGATGTCGCGCGATAATTTCTTATGCATTTGATTTAAACTCGTTGGCTTTTGCAAGCGATTACCGTCCGGAGCAAACTGCACAAAGAAAGAAAAGGATCCCTGTGATCCTCGCCCTCGAGCCATTCGTAGCGCCAGAAGACGCTTATTACGAGCCTATAAATGCGGCGCTTGCTCGCGAGAGAAAAGGAAGAGCGCCGGTAGCCAGTCCATTACGCTAAAGAGCTCGTCCACTTTCGCGGAGCAAATAATGCTGTAAAAGAGCCATTGTCGCTCGCGCGCCGGTGCGATAATGCTCACGTGTTCATTTATTGAGTTCGCGCAATTATTATATTTATGCATCTTTTCAGACTAAATATTCAAATAATCAAATGTCCGGAAAGATACGAAAAAGTCGCTCGGTAACGTTCCTGTAATGAATCGGTGCCCTCACGCGAGGTACAATTATGCCTACCGTAATTAATTGATCAAACGTAACTCGGCCGCTTCTCGTTACGGTCACGAACCTGTTTCTATTCACTCAGTTCGACGCGGCGGATTCGTCCCGGACAGAAAGCAATCCGAGCTATAAACGGAGTTGTTTAAGTAAATTTCAACGGGTACAAAATGCCCACTGAATGACTTAAATACTATCAAAGTTGATTTAACAACCGATAATTCGGCGAGCGCGCGAGAAATCAGGAGAGAAATAAAACGCACAACGCAAGTTGCAGATTTTTTTTTTTTCGAACATTCGAAACTTTTGAAAATTTCTTATGGAATATAGATCGACATTTCGTATATTTGCCAATATCTCGCGATATTACGCAGAGAATTTAGGATACTGTCGGCAGTGGCGTTACCACCAGTGAACAACGGCGCGAATGCTCTATACTCTATATATAGCGAGGCGTGTACCTGCTCGGCACTCTCGAAAAGCTGCGAGGAAAAGCAAAGGAGGGCAAGAGCGGAGGTGCGCAGCAGCTGGCCTCACCGCAACATCTGGCGGCATCCGATACGTATATTCGGCACCGCCACGCGCCACTTCCAATTCTCGACGTCTTCCCGTGTGTTCTCGCTTCCCTCTGTCCCTTCCTCATCTGCGTTTCCTCGCAGTTTCCTCGATTTCCTCCTCGCGGTCCTCGTGCCAGTTTTTTTCCGCCGATTCACAGCCAAGTTCCGTCCCTCGCGGCGTTTCTCCCATTTTTACATCTGCGTTCCACGTCAAGTGCTAAATGCGTGAGGATATTTCAACGTACGGCTGCGCTTCAGACAGCAATCATTTCAATTTGGACGATAATTTTAGCTTTGATTAATTGAGAAAAATAGAAAAAAAGTAATATTTATTAACCAAAAATATATCAAATTTCTTTTGTCGTTTAGAAATCTGTTCACTTTAAACGAACTCGACGCGATATGAAATACACATTTTCGAAATTTATGCAAAGTTACTTCCGGCTCGTGTCACCGTGTATCTGTGCGACGTTTTGTACAGCGAGGAGTGTTCACGATTCCACGCACGCGACGTTAATATACTACATCCTACGTGTTTTTTTGTGAAACTTTCCCAAAGACCACCAACAAAATAGCCCTCGGACCGGAAGTGAATCCGCGGTGCACAGGTTGGGAAACACTGCCTCGCCGCACGAATGCGTGCTCGATCGACTCGGCGCGATCCTCTTTGCTTTTGAGGATGGAGAACGCCGTCCCGAGGTTGACGACAAAAGTGCAACACAGTCGGGTGACGTATCCAATTTTAGCTTCGCGTTCGGCGCGCTCATTGCACATTCTTCATAAATTATTCATAAAACGGGTAACCATCAGCTAGCGATCGCTCTGGCCGAGGAGCAGCGTATAAATGGCTGCCCAATTCCTAAGTCGCATTACAGATCGCGGTGAAAATTCGATAGAATACCGACAATATATTGAATATGAAAGAAACGGGAACTTGAAACCGATTCAGTAAATGCACATTACACACATTCGCGGCTTTCGCCCAATTTAAAAGTATAATGCCAGTGCGCTAGTCAGACGTGCTCCTCTCCCAAGTTTCTTTCATAATTCCACCTTGAAAGGAGAACGGCAACTTTAGCCGACATTAATATCGTTAAATAGAATTTCCGAATTTTAACGCAACACACCGAGCAAATGTCTACGTAAAAGCTATAAAAGTCTGACAATCGGTATTATTCGGCAAGCGGACGAAGCTGTTTACGTAACACGTAGATGTATCGTGGATATTTGCCCTTATTTTGCTTCGTATCTGATGCTACGAGGGGGATGGTTTATCGCGCATGAGGATATATATTTAAGATTATATCCGCCGTTAAGATTGCGCTTTTTTACACGCACGAGCGTAGCGCAGGGGCGCGGCTTAATTCATAAGGACGACGCGCGTTCGGCGTTGAATCGCTAATTTCCGTAACGAAACTTACTTCAATGCTCGCGGAACGATCGGCTCGCACGCTCAGGAAGCAGGAAGGAGAGACGGAGGAAGCGGCGATAAAATCATTCGAGTCGTTGCCCGAAAACGGGCAGTGGGGAAGCACGAAAGGACTTGGGCGCATCGTGAAAAGCAAGGTGAAGGCGGTCATTATAAACGAGGCCATTAACTCGGCATTGCCTTATGTCGTTGCGCGCGAATTAATTTAATCTCTCGAATTGAAATCTCGAAGGGGCTCTCGTACGATCGACACAGTGATATCGAACGCTCGCCGGAGAATATTGGCGAATTGTCGGTGCAAGGAGATTCAAACGCGATAAAAACAGAGGAAACTGAATTTCGCTTATTAACGTATTGATATCGGCTTGAAATTAACGTCGGCGTTTCCAGGACACTGTGTATATTGAGCCACCGCTATTGATTGACAATAAATATCGATCGTTCGAAGGCACCTTGATAACGAAGCGGGTTATCGGACTTGCGTGCCAGAGGAAGTTTCCATCGTAGCGACTGTTATTCTCGGATCGCGCTACGTGTTTCAGATCACAATACGGGGTGCGCACATTCCCATGACAGGAAGACTGAAATTAGGTTCCCCGTCGAGTGCACGGACCGAAAGATAATTCTCTTCCAAGCCACGAAGTAGTCTGACAGGAGAAATTATTCTTTCGTACGATTTCGTCGCGCGCATCGCTTTCGTCCCTTTCCCTCGCACGAGCTGACACGAACTGATTATGTATTAGAACTTCAGCGAGTTCGTCCTTCTCCAATTCATCGTACATTTTAAGTTCTTGTCTGATGCGACCACGAAGATGCGACACTTTATTAGAACACGATATTCGAAATAAAAAAGGTTCTCGTAAATTCTCATGTTTTATAATTGCAGTTTCATTTTATAACCGTTTAAGAATTTAGGAAGCTTTACATATTCAAATAAATAACAAAATTATATTTTCAATTTGATTTTATATAGATTTTAATTGAAGAGAACTTACGATCAATTAGAATATTTAGAATAAAATATTAAGAACAAATTTGCGTAAGAAAAAATCGGCTACGAACTGTCGAAAAATCTTTTCACGATTGTAGAAATTTCTCTTAACACAATATCGGCTACCAAGGAAGTTGAGCTTCTCATTTATATCATCCGGATGTACGGTTGAGGCCACCTTCGTGGCATTCCCCTTCGTTCTATATTCATGCCGACGGTAAGGTAACGAGTTAACATTAAGGAGAAACCATCAAGACTGAAGAACAAGCGTTGATTGGTTGAAATATCAACGTCACGCCGATTTATGACTGCGCGATTTTCTTCTATTATGTTTCCGCACTGAATTATAAAGCTATCCGAGAAGAAAACCGAATGACGACAAATCGTTTTTCTCGAAACGCGTCGCAGAAAGTCGGATTATTAGTTTTTTTTAATGCTTCAATTATTACTGAAAAATTTTTTCGCGCAAAGTAAACAAAATAGTGAACAAAATTCAATTTCTCTGGCGCTAAGCTAAAAACATAATTAATTACATATTTTTCGTTTATTCCCCTTTTATATCATTTTTTAAATTTAATTGTTCTGTTATTGCGTTTCATTAAAATTGATATTAAATATGTTAATAAAACATCAAGTAGCAATGCTTAGTGCAAAATAGAATTCTGTTATATAATTAACAGCAATATATTGTATTTTTGCAGTGAAAATTAAATATTTTTATCGTTTGTGTAATTTAGTGTACGTCAACTATCTTTGTCTGTTGTATCGCGTTATTAAATATCTTGATAATTAAAATTAAAACAAATTTTAAAAAGATCGAATTCTAAATCGAAGAAGAAGACTCTCTATTTAATCGAATCCCTATCTTTCAAAGTTCGAGGATCATGAATGAAACGCGATACTATATCCCGACTAATCCAGCGATGTCCTTGAGGCTCGGCACGATCCCTCAAGCGGGCAGTAGCGGGCGAGCACTGGCAGCAGAAACTAGGAGCGAGACGGTATAGATACGCGTAAGGAAGCGTAACGCCTACGTAGAGCCGAGCCTCTGACTCGCGACTTCCGGTCAAGCAGCAGGAAGCACGCTCGGTGCCTCGCCGCCACCGACGCCCGACTCGCCCGACGACATCCTTAGACCTCGCCTGGCTATACTGCGAGCGAGATACTGCAGAAAGCAAGTTTCAAGTTCACTTGAGAAATGTTCCTACGCGAAATTACGTACGCCAAAAATTGAAGGGTTCCGTACTGGAGCAAAATAGCTCTGTAATTTGCAAAGACTGTTTTACATACAATTTCACATTTAAATGCAGCCTGTGATTTAATTACCAAGATATTTAGTAATTATGAAAATAGCTACCTTGTGAAGTTCGCTTGTAGATTTCTAAGAAAAAATCGATGTAGAGGATCATCCAAGGTATTACAGTTTCGATAAAAATCTGATTAAATTTAATTAAGTAAGCTCGCAAATTGTTTTAAATTTTCTCGCTTTCGAAACGTCGACGACGACGACAACGACTCTCTTCTTTCTTTTTTTAAATCAATAATTTTTTATCTTACATATTACGATCCTATATTTTGAATTTATCAACAGGTCTCTCATTAATTAGATATTAAATAAGAAAAAGATTAAGATGTGTTACACGAAATTTCCTTTCTTTCGAAATCAATTATTTATTTTCTCCGGTTTACCAAAAATGGATATTATTTCACCGAACAAATTTTACTTCCTCCGAAAATAAATATAATATCAAACGTCGCAACATGTGTTTTGAGGACAAGACGACATTAGCATGCGTGTAAATAATACTGTGTAAAAGAAAAGAAAGAGAGAGAGAGAGAGAGAAGAAAAAAAGAGAGATAGAAAACTGCTGAGAGAGATGGAAACATATCTTGATTTCTTTTCACACAAATTTTCATGCGTGTCTCACGATTACGCAGTCCTGATGTTTTAACGATGCCGTTAATTGACCCACACGTAGCGTCTTTCTACGCACAAAAACCCGCGCATATTTATTTCGTGATGGCGGCCCTAACGATGTCGTTAATTGTCTCATGGCGACAGTAAGCAACGTGTTTTTTTTTTTCAAGTGCGAACGCGCTGAACTTGTTTCACGTGAACACATTTAACAATACACGCCTGAATTCATAATTTGTCGGAAGCACGTATCGTATGTATTTTTGGATTCTGTCTTGTTACTTGTTTAATGAAGCAATTTCGAGTCAATTTTTTAATAAGCTACTAAAAGTGCTGAATTTAATCAACATATCTTAAATTAAAATATGTGCCAGTGATCAGTAAAGGTGGACTACGCTAAGAATCTTGAAAAATTCAATTAAAGCCATTTTTGAAAAATAGTTTAAAATTGAAATATTTGATTTAGCTCATTTTTATAATCACTGGCGCATATAAAATTAAGATATTATATAAAATTCCTCTTTTTCAAGATTATATCGGCTGCTAAAAATTTTGTTTCGAGCCAAGAAATGACGAAATATTGTATTCTTACAGAAATCCTACAGGTTTAAAATATTTCTGTTCATTCGCATAAAATAAGTTGAGAAAAACGCACGAAGCCGACACAGACAGATATTTTTTACTCTGTTCTTGAAATCGGAGCTTATATCGGGTGCATCATGAGCCACATTCGCGAGTCGAAAGTGCCACGAAGGGAGCACGCGGGTCGGTTTCGCGTCTCGCTCCGCTAATTTCGTACGTTCGCACGCCGAAAAATGAGAGCTTTAATTTCGTGGCAACCAGCCGCTGCGCCTAATTGGCATAGACGACGACGACGACGACGACGATGTTCGAGAACGAACGCTCTCGCCCGTTCGCTCGCTCGCACGGCCGACTGCTTACCTGCCGATGCAATCGAAGGAAGAGCGCAGGGATACGCGCACCATATTAATTCCTAATTGTGTAATTATCCGTCTAATTACAGCCTCGCGCGTATGCCAAATTATTCCATCGAACGTTACGAACTAAAAGCGAGACGTGCGCTCCCAAGGACATTGTAATTTCGAGGATCGAATTTACACAAGAAGACAATTAATTAAAGTGATTTCGAATCTAATTCGCATTCCTCTTGCGAAAGAATTTTGAAATCAAAGACACGAACGGAAATAAGCTACGTTTCTTCGGTGAAAAGAACGCGAAAAATGAGTTGTATCTCTCTTCAATGGTTTCGCAATAATCAATCATTTATTGACGATGATTGATTCACATGATGCAACGTACATTGCATACGCGAAATGTTGAAATGGGCCACACGTTGGAAATCGTAAATTAACGGGTTACAGTTGCGTAGTCGAAATAATTGGCGTTAATTGGTTAAATTGGCGTCGTCGAAGAGAGGGATACTAAATTTCGCTAGCAGCGACTTACCTGTTGATTCCCCTGCAGATACGTTTGTGCCATTCGGTTGCCGCTGCATTCATGACACGAAAGAAACCGTCGTTGTTAGGATAAATCATTTTTGTCACTTATCGCGTTTAATCAAACGGCCATCGCGTGAGAAGTTAACTGAAAAACAATATGACAAACCAGTAAAAGTCGTGATTTCAGTACTAGACTTAAATGATAATACATATTGTGTGTGTGTGTGTTTGTGTGTGTAATATAACGTGTAATATATGATAAATATTAGAATTGTTCAAATAATTTGAATAAAAAAAATAAGCATCTAATAAATATGCGTGCACGATGTTGTTCTGTAGACGCACAAATTGATAATTTAATTTTAGCAAGAAATCGCGCAATTACAATACGCAGCAATATTTCCTCGCAATTATTTTCTTTCTTTCCTTTCTTAAAATCGAACAAATTTAATAATCGGCAAGCAAGAGAAATAAATTTATATTGCGAAAGAAATTTAGCTGCATATTAATTAGCAATTTTATTTAAACATCCCGAAGCGAAGAATAACCGGAAATGCGACCAGGTTGACAATGACCTTGAAGGAACTCGTTTCGCGACTCGCACCTGCGACTGTCAAGTTCAAGTCACGATTTGTCCCCCGATCGCGTATCGATCTCATTGCTGCTCGAGAGTTAATTAACCACCCAGATGTACCGAGCAATTTAAAACGACACGCGGCATTATTCCGATATGATCACAACTCATCGTTATAGTCGTCATATATTCGAATGATCGATACATGAATGAGTTCACTCGAGAGAAGCAATATCGATAATTCCGCTGAAATATTAATAACATTACATATTTATTTTTCACGGAGCAACTAATAAATATATATTCATTCAGTTAAACCTGTTGAGTATTTCCGATACCCACAATAAAAAAAACAAGCTGCAGTAAAAAAGCTGCATCGTGTGCAGATGCAAAAAATGCAGCGATGTCCCTGAAGATCTAAAAGTGCGCAAGATTCAAACATTATATTAAAATACACAATTTATATCAAATGTAAATTAAATTGAATTAAAAATACACAAACTCATAAGTATAAATAAAAAAATAATATGGAAGTAAGTAGGTGAAACAAATTTTACGGTAGAAAAATTCAATCATTCCTTCATGTAAAATTGAACGAATGAATAACTCATGATATACTGTGATAGATAAAAACAGACGAGAACAATCGTTCAATAGTTATATCGATAATCCTGACATTCGTTGTAATATGCTTTGGACGATGAAAAATTCGAAAGATTCGCGGAAGATGCTACGCGTGCCCATACCAAATTCGACGAGGAAGGACGGCCGGAGAAGAGGAGAGACGGTGATAAAGGTGGCGAGCTCGCGGTACATACGGCGTGCAACACAAAAGAACAAGAAGGAAAGAGATGCACCGAGATCGCGCTCGGATAAAAGACGCGCTCGCGTACACCTGAGAGCAGCAGGTGCAGCGCAAGGTCTCGGTCCTCACGAAGCGAGTCCTGGCTCTTTCCTTGCGTGACAGCGCGCGACGCGATCAGTAGATGTATAAATAACGAGTGACCTTAGATACATAAAGACTAATTATTACCTGAATCAAAGGTTGATTCGATTTTGTTATTCCAAAATTATCGAATGACTTATTCACTAAGCGATCTTTTCTTTTCTTTTTCAAAAACCGCAATATTCGATATAGAGCTGACTATTCCCAGCGTCGATTAACTTTAACAAAACTTGTCGACATAATTGCTAGCATGAAGAATGAAATATCATCAAACGAGAAAAGTTTAAGAATTTTGCCAACTTTGTCGACAAGTTTTAACCGTCGGTTAAAGTTAATCGAGGCTGGAAACTAATTTGTGTATAATTTCTATGCATTCTAAGATGACGATAGTCAGATATTATGCATCTATAATCACTGCTGTAGCGAGAAGAAAAAACACAACGATATTAAACGTTGTAATAATAACATTTTTCCCAGCATTTGCCCCTATCGCATCCTCTGTTTCCTTCTTCTCACTCTGTTCCCTTTTGCAATACTCACTCGATTTTTTGGATGCCATTAAATAGCGGGATCCGTGCTTATCCACAATAGCGACCTTGACCTTGACTTGATAGAAGCTGACGACCTGAGGTATGCGGGCGTTGCAATTATGTCGGCGCGCAAGAGTCCACCTTTCATTGAAGCTCCTGTTGGTACTCCTTTGTTACTTGTTATTGTTATTGTTGACGCAAAACCGGTAGGCATATGCGCCGATACGCCGTGAGTCAAATTACACTCACTTATTACAAAACAAATTGAAATAAAATCAGAGTGAAAATCCAAATATTATATCGCACATCTGAAAACTCTACTACAAAACAACTAGATAACACCGACAAACATCATCAAATTAATTAAATATTAATTCCTTATATTAATATATCCTAAGAAATTAGACAACTTATACATATTATCAAATTAATTAAATAAATTTCGTATTATCAAGTCGATACATGCAACAATATTGTTTCGCGTACTTTTTAATCGCCGCTTTCAAAAGATTCCGACGAAAATCGATCGACCCCCCTAATCGATTTAGACAGACGGGAAAGGGATATTCGCTAATTAATTCGCAAAATATACTACGCATGGGAGTCCGAGTCGTGCGATCAGATAGAGTCACGAAGGATTCCTCGCGTTCAGCTTGATCCCAATCACGCAGATGATGACGCGAGCTCCACCGACAGCTGCACACTCGCGCCATTAACCAGCACTTCCAGCTTTTGGACGTCGCTTCGTTGATCAGTCATTATCGTACAGAATCCTTGCGTCCTCCTCCTGCTACGCTCACACTCTCGCCAGCGATCCTTTGCATATTCTTCGAGAATAATCGAGAGTAACAGCAGCGCGGAATAGAAACTAATTATCCCTTATTTAATATTAATTGAAAGCATTTATGAAGATTGAATTTTTGTCAGTTTATTGCTAATATAAATACTATTCTTTTACAAATTGAACTGGCCTAACGACGTTTCATAACATGCATAAAAAATATCGGCTAGCCGAGTCTAGTGACGGAATAATGCTATAGTTAATGACAATGTACAATGATGCTGAGAGAGCAATCGATGGAAAAAAAAAAAAAAAAGAGAAAAGTGATGTGTGGCGACCTTCTCCTCGACAAACCTGCCAGACATTTAATCTGTCGATGATCATCGTCAGAATTCGGCGTTGCCGCGTGCGCGCGCGCACGACGTCGTGTTGATTAACTAAAGTGTAGCACAATTAAAATAAAATCAAGAACTAGCACATGACCATCATGTGGAATTGAGTCAATCGATTGAGAATTCATCCGTGTCATTCGCGCAGCAAACGATGAAGTGTCCGATAAAAATTTCCTTCTCGCACCTTTCAAATCGAAATTGAAAAAACAATGTGAGTCGCTGTAACATCCAGAAAACGAATTCAGAGACAGAACTCGAATTAAGTACCTAGTTTTACATCGATGATATCGATCGATAATTTTCTAACGCTTATCTTTGTCTGAGCTCTATGCCACAAAATTTGTTCCTACGCTATAAATAAGTGAAATAAATATAATTGCAGTGCAATCATAATTATAACAATATTGTCAACGCTGCTTCCTGCCACATGTAATTACAATTTAGGACAAGAGACGACGGGGAGCGACGAAATATTAATCATACTGCACACTTGAGTCACTGAAAAGTCATCACTGAAAAAGTCCAACTCTCACAATGCACAATAAATATACAACATTTGAAATTGAGTCTGAAACTTGCCGGGACGCGGCGTGCGGAATTCGAGCGATCCGTGAACAGAAAAGCACTACTTACACTGTTTTGCTGATGCGCACCTTCCTGCGAACTCGTGGCTCGATTATCGCTCGATAATTCAGCGACGAATTTCGACACTTGGCAGAAGAAAACATCTCGAACATCTCATCAATGTTTTGAAACTAGATCGTTCTTTCGTTCTAAGCAAAACTACGATGATCCTGCATGCGATTGCTGCGTGTAGAATCCAAAAGGTCGTGGCTCCACCAAGGACGACGACGACGACGATGACGATGATGACGGCAGCAGCGACTTCGAGTTCACAGCCGCAGCCGAAGATGACGAAACGCCGGGACGTTGCTGCGACAACGATGAGGTCGCCTTCTGCTGGCTCGCGACACTCACGGTTCCTTGATGAGACCTGATGGGCACCGGCAGTGCTTTCTGGATCTTCTTACCGTGATGATGACTGGACGAGCGATAGCCCTGATGGCCGGGTCCGGTCGGTCGTAGCCGCGGTCTGCCTGGACCCCGTCGAATCCCCGCGACACCGCCACGTCCTGATAACGGAATCAGAGTACCCACGGGACCGAGAGGGCCAACCGTGCTGGGGCCGTCGCCGTCGGCGGGCTCTGACATCCCGTGCATCCCTTGAACATGAAAAAATTTTCTAAATGATTTAACTAGAAATTTTCCGGTGCTCTCGATGCTGCGTAACGATCACTTCAATCTCGCTTGATAAATCATGTGTCCAGGTAAAATCGATGTTTGTAGCGTTCATCGGACATTTCGTGCACGTATATCAAAATTTATTTCATTAATTGCATATTGCACATTGTCTAAGATTTATCAGGACAACGAGAACAGTGCTAATTGGAATAATCAGATGCCGGCAGGGTGGACGTAACTGTAACGCTTATGATCACGACGGAGCAGATGCGAGGGCACTACGATACCGAGTTTAACGTCGACTGGTTCGACCAGTTAATCGGTTATTCACCGGTTATCCTGCGCGATGTGGCCCTGCGATGAGAGAGGGCATACCCGAGGCTTGCGGATCGCCAAAGTGTTGGCCAGCTAGCAAGTAAAAGACTGTAATTATTACGTTAAACACCACGAAACAAATTTCAATTATAAAAATTAACATTGTCGAACTATATATTACAAAAAGAATTTCCATTATCAAAAATTTAATTGACGTGCCTGTACTATATTATTTTGCAGGATAATTAACAGATAATTTAATAAAAAAATTCATTCCAGAGAACAAAAATTACTGCATCACGCTGAATGCGTCAAATATTGTTTTTTTTTTTTTTTTAGATACACAAGAATGTGACGTTTTTTAAATATCAAGAAAATGTTACCATCAAATTTAATGATGAAATCTCAAGACATCGTAAGTTAAAGACGGAAAATCAAGAAGTATAAAAACATTTTATAAGATTATTTTAATTGACGCATAATAAATGCCTGGAAAGTGCTTCACGATGGAAAAGTGCTTTCGCTCAAGTTATCGAAAAGAAGTTTTTTCGAGGGGACTTTTCTGACAGGACGCGATGTGCAATTCAGTGCTCCCTTCGGCGAAGATATCTCGCATTTTGTCCTTTGCGGTCTCTTCGCCTTTATCTCACCGCCTCGTTGGCATTCTGCGGCACGCATTCGGTCGTTCAAGGAGACTCTTCAGACAGTACGGATCTAAGAGGACACTCGAGAAAATGGTCGAAGGGAGGAAAACGTAAAAACGCGTGTCTATCTTGAACTCCCGTCAGCTCTCAAACTTCCGCCGAACGCGATAATGCGCTCGAAAAATTCCACACGTGAATCATCATACAAATTGCATTGGTTGGAAAAAGTGCTTTGTAAGAAAGTCTAGAATGATCTCCTGACATATCGTAAAACAATAAATCGGAATATTTTGATATCTCGATCGTCAAACACAGGAATCGAATATTCAGCACTAAATTTTGAAAAAAAAGACCACAAAAATAAAAAAAAACTACAAAAAAATGTCAAGGCGCAAACAATTTTAGAGATTTTACAGAATCTATATTTACATCGATTATTCGATATTACTTTTTTCAATATTTGATAAAGTTTATTGCGACCGGACATCCGTCCTTCTTTTTGGACCTTATTTCTGCTAATATTTGTTATTGCCGCTATAAAACTAAATTTAGAATCTCATAAAATGATGAAAAAGTATTTATTTACGTAAGCATTAAAGTTATAAAATAATTTGGTTCCGTCGGTTGTTGTGGAAATCACGCCCGTTGATAGAAGTCTGATTGACAAATTGCGAAATTGCGTGGATAGCCGTAATACAACGAAAGCTAATGGAATGATGTATTAGTGCTTTGTATTAATGCAGACGAATGAAATTAGCCGTTATGATATGTCTGTGGCGTAACAAGATTCGGTATTTAATTCCTTGGTATTTAACCGTCCGTGCAATTTAAACGAAACTTTTATGAATTAATTTACAATCATTTTTGTACAATCTTTTTTTATGTAATAAAAGAAGCGAACGACTACGGACAGAATCTTCTGGAAGCAAAGGTAAAACTTTCGAGACAGCTGGAACGAGGAGATCGGCGGAATGCCGATGGTCCAGGTCGCTGTATCCTTGCCTCGTCCTATCCTACCGTATCTCAGCCGTGCGAACCGAGCCATCTCCACCGCCATATACTTTATCTTCTACCCTCACGTTCGACTAGTCTGGAACACTTAGGCTCCGGACAAGTTCGAGATCGGAAATCGAGATAATCGCGTTGCTCAACAGGATATCGCAGGGACCTACCAGAAATTTTCCACCCATTAAATCCAATTAAATGAACCTATTAATTACGTGCGTTTCGATAAGGACGCTGATTTTACAGTCTCCAGAATACAATGTTACATTACTGTGAAACCAAGAAAAAAAATACTATCCAATTAAAAACCAGATTTCGATGCGCTCAAAATTGAAATCTTTATCTAAAATTATTTTTTATTATCTAAAATTAAAATGTGCCAAACTCATTAGAATATAATTACGATATAAACATGCTTTTACACTTAAAGACAGTGCTATAGATTTCAATGCATTCTTTCTCGATCTACACGTCCCACGTTAATGTTTGCATTAATACATAATTGCAATTACAGGCTAATTATGAATAGAATCAGGGAAATATGATATTACATCATTCACTTCCTGCGTGGCGGTATGAAAATATGATATTCGAGAGGGTCGAGACTGGATGACACAGTAAGGTACGGTAAGGCACGGCACGAATCGACAACATTCAACCCCTTACAATGTCTACATAATTTTCCCGACTCTATACGAGCCGCTTCTTTCTTTCTTTCTTATTCGACTTCGCGAAACGACAAGGGAAATTAGATGTCGGGATTATGCAACTGATAGGTATTACGATCGCATCTGGAATTCGTGATAGACCATGCTGAATCGAACGATAGGTTATTTGGAAAAGACGAATCTGTCGACAGATATTGCTCAACAATTCGTATTTCGATATAAATAAATTAATATACAAAATTAGGCGTGAAGAACCGACCGCGGCTGTCAGTGCGGAAGAAACAAAATTCTGTCGACGCTGAAATAAAATCACGTTTTACTTTTCCCAACCAGATTCGACCGACATAAACGGAATGTAACTTATAATCAGCAGAAATAACGGATAAAGTGAACTAAAGCATCTCGATAACGCGATAACTAATGGAAAGGAGGACAAAGCAGGAGAGAAGAAAATGTACAAAAAAAAAGTGATGATAAAAAAGAAGAAAAGAGAGAGAGAGAGAGAAAGATACGCGAGTTCCAAAAACCTAAGAGCATCGATCGCAGCTGTCGCCTTCGCTCCGCATCTGCTATTGTCCGCTCGTCTTCCAGTCGGCGACAAGTGAGAGAGACCGACCCCTTTTTCTTGCGTACGTAGCGCGAGAACGGGCGTGACGGCACGCGTGTGTGCGTTCATTCCGTGCCCACGGTTCACGTGGTGTTGCGTGAGGTCGCCTTATCGAACTACTCCTTTCTCTAATTAATGCGATAACGATGAGCCCATTTCGACGCTACATTTCGATGTCTACGTTGTTAAAATTTTATTATTCTGCATTCTCGTGCCACGTAAAATTGAGTATTTTATTAAATACAAGACGTTTCGGGAGAGAATTCCGCAAGAGTTTGGACACATGTTCGTCAAATAATTTTAAATATTATTATCATAGAGAAAAATAACTTGGAAAACTTTTCCACACACACACACACACACACACACAAACAATCTAACGTAATACAAGATTTATCATTATCTACTTTATTATTAATAAACGGAGTGTTGTCTTTTAATTTCGCACGACTTTTTTTCCACCCGAAATTCTGTTTACGCAATTCCCATGACTGGCAGATTTCTCTGCCGCGCAGCACAATACACTTGTGCTGCGCGACAAATGTTTCAACCGGCTCTCCCCCGCGACCAAGCCCGGAGCTTTTGCAAAACGACTCGCAGAGAATGAGTCACGGAGAAATTTCAGAGGGAGGCGGATGTCTCTAAGGGCGTCCCGTGGAGGAGCGCCAACTGTTACCCCCCTCGACACTCGTGGTTGCACATGTGCTCGCGAGGGAATTTCGACAGAAGCCGACGATGGGGCCGCGACGATGGGGCCGGCAATGGACCCACAGGGCGTTCTTCTCGCGAACCGCAAAATCCCCTGAGAACCCGGACAAGTGCTCGGGCGAAAGATAGCACCGTGGGTGCAGCAAAGGGGGGGTGGAAGGGGGGACCGATCCCGACATACGAAAAGGACAGGCGGCGGGCTTAACGGCGTATCGATTGGCGCGGACCGCAAGAGAAGTCATTTTTTCCCAAAGTAAGCTTTTAAATCGCGTCGTTCCCTCGCTCGCGTCCCTCGCTCGCGAATAATCCTGTTTTGTTACCGTTTGTTTTCGTTTCGCCGTTCGACATTGTTATCTCGATGGCATTAGCGGAAGCGGAGCGATGAATTCGCTGGCGATAGTTCGCGTTGCGGCGATATTAATAATAAACATTCTCTTTTGCGCACTGCGAAAACAGTTCCGTCCGATACAATCGGCCTTAATAAAGCTGGAAACGAGCGCGATTACGAGCGGTCCAATGACTGCATAAACGCGTGTGTCGTATAACGGTCGATAGAGAGTGGATATACCGCGATCACAGCTGTTCAATATTTATACAAATTGTGCCGTCGCACGCATACAGGCGCTAATAAGCGCGAAAATGGTTATCAGCGTGATGTATCTGTCCGTAGCACGTAACAGCACGTATCGAAATAACGTATAAAACTGCTTTACATGTTAATATGCGCAGGAAGTTTCCTGAATTTTTGATTAATTGCTAATGAAATTAAAAATATAAAGTAATTTTCTGGTCATAAATTCTCCATAAATCTTATTTTCTTCAATTATTTATGCGGTATAATAAATAAATTTCAAACGTCAAGCATCAAAATTTCAAATTTTAGATAAATCGTAAACCAATCATTAAAAAAAAAAAAGAAACAGACGTTAAAAATTAAATTTTGACCACTTCAGCGAATACTTATTTTTCCATTATTTACATTTTTCCTATTATTTATTATCAACAGAACAACAAAGATCTATATCTCAAAAGCAAATACTTACCGTGCTGTAACATCTGCTCGCTCGAAGACCCACTGTCGATCGATGACAAGGTTGATGGCGCTTCGCCGGAACCTTTGGATGACGGATGCACCAGAAGTAATCCTCTTCCTTTACCGCCAATCGGTCCACCTCTGCGAGAACCGCGCGGTCGGCCACGCTTGCTCGCACCACGTACGGATTGTCGCATACGCGCGCTCGCGCCCATACCGAAGGCGAATTGATGTCCGAGCCGGGCGACCTTGGTTGGAGATTCTCCAAATTGGAGATTGCCTCGGGACTGTCCACGAGAGTCTCCGCCGGAAGCTGCCACTGGACCATCCACATCGACAACAAGTCCTTCGTTGCTCGTTTCATCCTGCAAGAAATCATATTGATATCACGAACATCGATAATCGCGTAACGTTATGTAATGATTAAATAGCGACAAGAGAACCGTTTTCTGTATGTATTTTCTTCCAGAAAATATCTTTAAAAAATTGAGATTGATTTAATTTTGTTTTTAGAATATGTGTCTATATCGAATAATATTACAATAACGAATCCGTAAGATAAACGATAATGAAGACGATGACGTACTTCTGATTTGGCCGGGCTGGTCGGCGTGCTGTAATTATCTACATTTTCTAATTGCTGTTGATGGTGATTGTTCTGGTGCTGTGACTGTATCGGATTAGCGGCCGCTTTAAACTCATTAAGATGAACTTGAACGGCATCGTTGTTTTTGTCGCCATTAGCATCCGCTAGACATGGTTTCTTCGCATCGTTCTGAAAAGTAAAGATTGCGAAATACAATCGAGACCAATGAAAGATTCCTACATTAATGTTATAATTTCATCAAGTATGAAATCTATTGGGTGAAAGTTGTGATAAATTTTGATAAAAATGGATAGAAAGAAAAAAACGACAGTAGTTGGACGACAAAAGGACGAAAAAAAAAAAAGAATCTGCGACGCGACCGATAGCGGTGTGTAAGGGCGCCAGACTCACCTTGACCGGAAGCGCGGTTAACTTCCTCTTCCGGTCCCTCTCCTTGTGCTGTAGGTTTGACTCGAGGCGAGCCTCCTCCGCTCGTTGCTGCTTTCTCTCCTCGCTTCGTTGGCTGTCTGAAATATACGGGACGTACAGGCTTATACTACACGCCGAGGACGCGGCGGCAAGTTCGTTACTCCGTTCGTTTCTTATTATTCCTTATTAGGCCATTAGCATAACCTAACGAGCACAATTTAATCGCGGCCACTTCGGCCCCATCGCCCGTTTTCTTCATGCTTCTTCATACATTTTCGACGCATTTGTGCATATTATGCGCGTTTTACTGTACGAATACGATACAGCGATCGACTATGGTGAATAAAAACTCTACTCCCACGATTTTTCAACAAATCATGCTTTCTGTTATATATTTCAATTATAAGTCAAATGTTAAATTTAATAAAAAACTTTTTATCAAGATATACAAAAAAATAACTTTCCAATATAGTGGTTTCCACATCTCTAATATATGTAGGTTTAACAAAAATTTAATAAAATTTAACTACAGTTTTGGAAATAAAAAATTGAGAAATTTTCTGTAAAAATTCCAAAATATAAATAAATAATGCGAAACGAATTCTCAAATTAACTTTAAATGGAGTTTGATTGAATAAGATATTAATAATAAGAAATAGTAATATTTACATTTTGCTTCGATTTCTTCATCGTCTAAAAGCAGCGACACGACTTCCTTGGGTTTCAAGGTGTCGGGTTTAAAGTTTCCGCCGCTTATGACCATACGTTGGATCTACAACAAAATAGCCTCATTTGCACATATCTAACTTCGTTTATGCACGATTGTAAAACGCTGTTTGCAAAACGAACCTCGCTTTTCTCACGTGCTCTCTGCAAAATTCGTTCCTCAATAGTTCCCTTACATATCAATCGGTAGACCGTGACTTGTTTGGTTTGCCCCAGTCTGTGGGCGCGATCCATAGCTTGTTGGTCTACAGTGGGATTCCAATCGCTATCGTAAAATATCACCTGCAAAGTTAATCGTTCGGCATCGTTAATTACGGCCGCAAATACAAAAAATTGTAATACATAACTATCGATGCGTAAGTTAGCTCTGTTCAACGCGATAGCTTTTACACGCGATATAATTTTATGCGCGCTCCTTTCTTTAGCGCTATTGTAAACGTATCTTTCATTTCTTAATGAAAATCAGGATCTTTCGTACTTGCTCTTTTTTTTATAGAGTTTACAGAAAGGAATCATATTTATTATTTACAATTCTCAATTGACTTCTCAATTGATTTCTCAATTGATTTCTCAATTGACATAACATGATCATGCATCATTTGTAAATAAATTTATGAATTTGACATCAGTTAATAAAATTTGCAAGAGGTTCAATATTGAATATATGTATCAACTTTCATGATCTACGATTTGCAGATTGGACATATGGCCGAAAAAAAATAGAAACTAAAAATCAGGATGACGAGTACATGAAGTGATATAAAGTGATGGAAGGCAAAGATAGAATTACTAACCGTGTCTGCCGCAGTAAGGTTAATTCCCAGGCCGCCAGCCCTAGTGCTAAGCAGAAAGACGAATATGTCCGCTCTGAAACATGAAACAATCCCACAGATTCAACAACCGTGCCAAGGAACAACGACATCGGCCATTTTATATGTAAATTAATTCGTGGTTCTGGCATTTGAAAGATTTCTAGAATGAAATTCTCCATTGCGAGCACGCGATCCGATTACGTTCAAGATTTTCAAGATGGCCTAAATCAAAACGGCAAATCAGAACGGCAAATCGAAGCCGTTGCAGAGTAATTATTGAAGCAAATTAAACTCGCCATCTTACAGAATTCAATATCAAATTAAAGATTAATATTAGGTTGTGCAATAAGTAATTTCGTGTGTTTCCAATAAATCTACCTTTTTTGGTCAGACAAAGCACAAGTTTGATTAACATATTCGTTTGAACGAATGTAATGAAGTTGCACCCGTATCACGATTTTTTAAATGTACTGTGGGGGTGTCGCTACAGTGCTGCATAAGTGATGTCATCTATGCGAAAAATATGAAATTACTTATTGCACAATCTAATATATGATTTGTCACTCGATAGATAACATATTCTATTGTATGTTACGTGTATGTTAGCAGTGAACTTTCCGTTTAAACTGTGTAAAAATAAAAGATTTCATATTTCCTGCTTTATAATGCATTTTAAATATTATCTCATCCGCGTGATAATTTTTGTAACCTCTTAAAATATACAACTTTTACAAATATATAAATATCATGAATAACAAGTTACGTAGAATTAGCGCAGAAGAATGTTAATAACATGGAATATAATTGTCAAAAAATTGAAATAAAACTCGAATAAAAGTTTTTTAGGCCATAACGGCCAGTGCACATTGCCTAATAGCCCACCGTTAGAACTTCTGGATTCCGTGTATTCAAAAACCTGCAGCTGTCTGCAAGGTGGGAACGATTCAGCGATTAATTCATGTTTTAGTTATGCGCGGCTGAACCACACAAAACATGCGATCGCGCTTTAAATATGCAACTGGATACTTGTTTGAGGATGATAGATATTCTAATGAGCAAATTATTATTATTAATAGCGTATTCTTGTAAGCAATTGACAAGAATGTGCAAGATTTCGAGATATATGCGCTTACTATCAAAGTCCCTTATCTGTCCACTGTTCGAGCAGTATTGCGAGATTGCTGAACAAATACGCAAGACTGTTGCACTGAGTTTAAGCAGAACGAAACAATTACCTCTTTTGAAAATCTGCTACCATGTCTCGACGATCCGAGATTTTCGACGAGCCATCTAATCTCATGAACGTGTGTTTTCTATGATACATGTATTCCTATAACAAATAAATAATTTATGTAGACTTTAGATTTATAAAAGTTCATAAGATCCCGATCTAAGTAGCGGATAAATGAACATACCTCAAGCAAATCGATCATTTTCGTCATCTGAGAATAAATCAGGACTCTATGGCCCTGTTCCTTCAGACGCCGCAAAAGGCTGTCCAATACGGAAAGTTTGCCGGCATCTGTTACCAATGTTTGTTTATCTAGAATAACGAAGTTTATATTTATTTACTGATAAAATTATAATTAATTAAATAAATTATTGTAGGATTTGTTAGAATCACAAGTGTGCGTGAGTGAGTAGAGAATGAGAGCAGTAGAGATGAGTGAGGATGTGGAAAGTGATTGAAGCATGATTGTTTGCATGAGTGCAGCGTGCATCAAAGCGTGACTGAGACCTGTTAAAATATTATAAGTGTGTGTATGCATGATTGAGAGTGTACGGCACAAATATAGAGATGAGCATTAGAAAGCAGGGCGAGAATTTTTCATGAGAGCAAATAGATAAAGGCAGAGTGTTTTATGAAATACAATGAATAAATCGCCGGAATTTAGCTGGTGTAGCCAAATTATCAACATTGTATTGATATTGTTATTCACTATTCTCTTATAAACATACCTGGAACGATGATGTGTGACCACCCATTAACAGGAGTGCATGCAGATAACTCCCCTTGCGGCCGGTAGCAAAATGTTGAGGTTGTTTGGCGAGCACGAAAGTCTGACTTTTCTGCAGAAAGCGCCCGTTCGCAGCCGAGCCATAATAATCGTTGACCAAACGGACCGCCACATTCCTCGTGCCTCTTCCAGGCGCACGCTGCGGAACTATTCCTAACATATAATTTTCGCGGACTAGCTTGAACCTGCAATTAAAAGGAACAGATTGAATAATCCTTCTTTTGTATTTTATATGTATGTTGTTCCTAATGTATGCGCACGTAACGAACCTTAGGATTGTTATCGCAAACGAAGGCAGGAATCGTTGTCTGTTGGCAATAACGCATTATGGTCTGCCGTGGGTGGTGCGGATGTTCAGGCAGTAGAGTCAATTTTGAATCTTCCACTTGCTCCGTTTTACCAGTGGGAAGTATCCTTTGTAACTAAATATCAAGGTACGCTGTTTCATATTCTCCAAACTAGAGGAGTTCACACGAAAATGTACTATATAAATAAAATACAATTACCTTTATCAGCTGATTGGCTTTTTTACTACTACGCAATATTCTGTGCGCAACAGTTTCTGGCATCGAATGTATCGTATGGGTGGTGTGTGTGTAGAAAGCCTCGCCTTCAATTATTTTCCTCGTAAAAAATATATCTTGCAACGTCGTCGACAAGGCATCAATCTTTTTCGGCAAATAAAACAGTTGATTCGCTGGTGTTCTCGATGTGTTGTCGACGCTCCAATCTTCCCAGTATTGTACCATTTTTAATCTTCTTTCCATCAACGTAATAAGACATAATCTATGCACACATAAAAGCACTCATAAAAATTGTAATCATTTCTAATGTGATATTAATATAATAATACTGAATTGAACTCTCACAACACTATGCACTTACCTAAATAAAGTGCCAGCAATAAACATTTTGTTCAACTCCATTGGGGATAAGTTGAGAAATCTGCTAAATGAGAATGTGTTTTTGTGCGAATCTTCGTCGCAGTGAAGAGTACGGTGAATATGTTCCGCAGCAAATATAAACAATCTATTATACAACAGATAGTCTTTGGATGGCAATGCTAGATGCAAGAGTCCTTCGTTATACAATAAGACAGGCATATTGTAAAATTCGGTATTCATAAAAAACGGCGATTTGGCATCTCTGCGTTCAAAGAGTTCCGGATGATTACAGACCTGTAAATAGACATTAATAATTAATACAAATCAGGCAGACTTTTAATTAGTTACTCGATTTTAACTCGAGAATAATCGCACAAGAGTCTAGATTCTCAATAGCGAAAAATAAAACTTACGTATATATATTTTCTTTTTCCAAAATGTAAAAAATTCTACATCTATAATGTGCTTTAATAAAACGTAAAGAAATCTGTGATACGCTACATATTGTTAATATCAAATAGTTGATATATACATGAAGACAATTAATTAAATGCAAAAAAATACCAAATATATTTATAAATTATGTAATACTTTTCGGAACTGCATGACTAGATTCATTAGGTTGGAAGTAAAGTTTTTGTCATTAGATGCAGTGTCTCCTCCGCCTACTGTATAATGCAGTAAATCCTCTATTCGAATCTTTTTCTTCAATGCTGCAAATGAGACAGATGTATTGTAAATGCTATAAAGATCCTGACGTTCGAGAAGATAAAATTAAAATACCTGAATAAAGCAACTTCTGACGAGTCGTAAGCGGACAATATACCATCACTTCAATCTTGTCAGATAATTCATTTTCCACGTCTTTTTTTATTCTTCGTAACATGAAAGGTTTCAGGATCATGTGAAGTCTCGACAAGTGTTCTAAAATAAAATTTATGATAATAATGTCTCTAATTTTCCATTTAATATAATTTGTGCCAAATTACTTACTTTCATCTATTCCTGTTTTATTCTCCGCGTGACTTTCTATATCCTTAGAGAACCACTCGTTAAATTCATCATGTGAATCGAATAATGTTGGCATGATGAAGTGTAATAACGCCCACAATTCTGCCATACTATTCTGTATAGGAGTACCACTGAGCAGTAATCTATTGCGACAACTGAATCCCAATAACAACTTCCATCTCATGCTGTAAGAAAAATCATTTATTTAAAAAAAATATTTATATACTTTCTACGATAAAAAAAGAAAATAAAATAGTATACCTGCTTGTGCTTTTAATAGCTTGTGCCTCATCCAAAATCATATACTGCCATTTTATTCTATTAAAATATTTATAGTCCGTAATTACTAATTGATAACTTGTTATCACCACGTGAAAAGAAGCTTCTTTTGTGTGCAAGTCTTTAGTGTCCCAAAATTGTCTCAATATCTTGCGTTCTTGAGGATTACCCCAGTATGGAACTACTTTGAATACGGGTACAAATCTTGCCATTTCCTGTTGCCAGTTGTGTAATGTGGAAGCTGGTGATATAATTAAGAATGGTCCCCAAACGGCTAAAAATATTAATAGTCAATAAAATATACGTTTATCGATTTATTTCCTTTTAGAAGCTTTAACGTAAAATATCAAATTGCAACAGTCAAGTTGTAGATGCTTACAATATCTCTCAGCGACGTGACATAAGAATGCTATGGATTGTACGGTTTTTCCGAGACCCATTTCATCAGCCAATATTCCACTAATACCCTGAAAAGATTTGACAAAATGATTTTAAAGATTTATTCGTGTAACAGAAAATCATAAATAATCATTATCGGATATATAATTACAAACCTGATCATATAAATTTGCCAACCAATTCATTCCTTTCAATTGATAACCCTTCAGATTACCCTTGAAAATTGAAGGCTGAGGGTGTTCCAAGTTCTCAGGTGTATCACTGAGACGCAATTCTTGAGATGCAGCAGCTGTATCAAACTGCTTGGTCCTGGCTTTTTCGTTGTTGAATGCTTCAGTAGCATTTCTCTTTGCCTTTTGCTTCATAGTTTCACTGCACATTTTATATATTTATATTTTTATACTATATAATTTTATATATTTACATTTGAAATATGAGAATCAAAATGATTAAGGTTAACATTTCTCAGACGCATTAAATTAATTAATTTTAAGATTATATAATAAAAGTATACATTCAAAATTACCTGTCATAATCATCAATACCAATCAGTCTGGGATTCTTTTCTTCGTCTAACTGATTTAAGATTCTTGACTGTTCCTCTGATGTTGTTTTATCTATTTTTCGCGACATAAAATGAGCATATAGTTCTGTTTGGGTGATAAGAAAGTTCAATTTCCTTTGCTGGCGCTTTGCCTATATAACAAAAGCAATGAAGAAAACTATATAAGAAAACGTTTTAAAAAAGAATAAAAATATATGCCCATAAGAAAGTAAAATCTTTTTACTTCAATAAGTTCCACATCCATTTTACGTTGCTCTTCAGCTTCTTTTTCTAATCTTTTTCTAGTTTCTCGTTCAACCCGATCGTAACGTTTCCAATAAGACTGCATTTCTCTTGTCAATCGTTTTGCTCTCCAAATAGTTTCTTTCATATTTTTTTGCGACTAAATCATAGGAATGAAAATAATGTATACATACTTTCATTTCACAAGTTAAATATATGAGAAACTTTGAGTATTAATTTATACTCACTTGCATGGCCTTCTGCCGCCAATATTTCATACAATGTTGCGCTACCTTTTTACAACTTATTAGCATTTCTTTATGGTTATTGGTTTTCGCTCTTTGTACTTTTCCTAATTCCTTCTTAGACATCATAACCCATATTTTTCTTCTTCTCATCGTCATTACCTCCACACTCTTGGTATTATGTTTCTTTCTTCCTCTACCTCGGGGTTGATGACGCATTATAGCTTCTAATTCAGATTCATCTAACTCTTCCTCTCTAGGAACTGATTTACCCCATTCACCTTCCTCCAAATTTCCTTTCTAAAAATAAATTATTTTAAGATAAAATTATAAATAGAGAATAAAACATAATTAAGTATAAAAGCAACATAAAACATACACGATACTCTTCGGATGCACGATGACGATTCATTTTTTCTTTCTTAATTTTCATTATTTTTTTGTCCGGCTTCTTCTCTTTTTTCTTCTTATTCCCTACAATCAACTTTTGATGATCTGGAAATCTATCATAATTTGATAACAAACCAGCACTATAGTATTGATACTGTATATTCTGAAAATGATAATATTCCATGATATTTTCAATCACTACAATAACGTTTCATTGTGTCACATTTTATTTGTCTTACTTCTGGTTTCTGATAAAAGCGGCCTTGAAACTTTTTCCGTAATATGTGGAACTTCAACATCTCTTGAAAATCTTCTTCAGTGACTTGACTTTCTGTATCAGAACTTGACGCAGAACTGTCAGAGGAATCACTTAACAGAATATCTTGTAACCAGCGACGTTCATCACCCACATTTGACATATTATACAATCTCAGCTTATTATATCTTGTTTCTGTAAGAATAATAAATATAAAAAACAATATTAACTTATACAAAACTTTCAATAAAATAAAAAATTAAGTATATACCTTCTTTCCGAGAAAGTACATTATCAAGGTAAGCATCTGAACCATCAGAAGATTCCGATGAAACAGATTTGTCATCTTCACTGAAAAACAGAAAAAGAGATACGATATATATTATATACAAATATTTTATATAATATATACACATATATATTATGATATATAGCATTAACTTTAATAACTCAACTTATAACTAGCATGTCATAAAGTAGAATAGCATTAATATTAACTATAGATACAAATTATTACCTCGCTTGTTCTTGAAAGAGATCGTTGATTTGCCTTAAGAAAGGCTGTACATTGAGGCTGCGTTCTAATCTTTGCAGATGCAGCGGCGCAGCCATTTCAGCTTCCAACTTCATTATGCTTGCTCTATCAGACATTACCAGTTTATGTCAAAACCCAACAATCTATAATAATGCACAGTAATTAAAATAAATTAAGAAAATTTTAAAACAAGGGAACTTTATTTTTAAATATATGTATAACTACTGATAACATATCAATATAAGTCTCCTACAGCATGCAAAGATAATTTGTTCAGTAACCCTTGACACAATTAGGCAGCTGATCTGATTAAGGTATTAAATGTATTACAACAAAAAAAACAAATTAATAAAGTATTTCTCTCCAAAATATACAAATCTAGCAGAAACCATTAAATAATAATTCAACATTGTAAACTATGGTGCAACTAATTACAGAAACGTGTATTACATGAGATATGAAGAACATTACCGCAATCTACTAGGATAGCAAAATGAACCGTGCATTTTTCCGTTTCTTAATAACAAGGTACAGAAAATGTTTCTTACTAAGCTGCTACTATACTTAGAAATTTTTCGTATTTCTAGTAAAGGACGATACGATATACGGGCGCAGAACTGCCATGCGAGATCATGTGCGGCTAATTTTATTATATAAGGCAAATGACACGTCGGTATCGAGCTGGTGCGGTTATAATTTTACTAAATATTTTGCTAACAGTTTTGCTTTTCACCTTCTTGTTTTGGTTAGACACGGCCCCACTTATTTCGTACGCGAAACAGAGCCTACTACTGGAATGCGATTTCCTCTGTTCACAGTGAAATTAGATATATCAGTCGGAGGGGAATGCATGGTAGAAGGAAGCCTAGAGAACGCAGACATTTGGCGTGCCATTAAAGCAGGGCAGGGATAGGGCATATTGCTCGCCACCATTTTTGTTTTCAGGAGATGGCGCTGAGCGTGCTCAACGCTCAGCTTCTGGCGATCTCCGGGATTCTGGACACTTTGTATAATATCTATCTACAATAATTTCAAGTCACGACCCAAGTCTCAGCCTATTTTCCAGCAAATGTTGCAGCAATCAATTTTCAAACATAAATCCTAACCTTCCTATCATGTGCATTGCTTTATCGTAGCTGTGAATCATAACGAAAGTATTAGCAATTAAAAGTATTACCTGAAAAAGTAATATCGATGACACGCAAAAAAAAAAAATGTAAGCAGTAAAAATATATTTACATTCGATATGTAATTAGAATATTATCTTCTGTATAATGCATTATGCGTATCACGTTTGTTTCGATATATTCTAAATTCAACAATAGGGAACAATAAATAAATCGACTATCTCAAACATTCTTGTAGAAGTAATTTTCAATTGGGATTGGTTTATAATTTTTTATTGTGATTGGTCGATTTGCTTACTGTTTTTTAGGGTATATCCAAACAAACTACCATAGACGCATAAGTATATATACACAAATATATATACACAAGAAAATGGACCAATCATATGTAATATAAAGAATGCCGGTCTTTATGGTGGACACATGATTGGTTCGTTTCCTTATGCATATGCATACGGACTTACGCAAGTTTATGTGAATATGCCATAAGACTTATTGTTAACGCTGTGCTACAGCTCCAAAATAATTTTTCAATAAATCCAATTAAATTGTTAATATTATAAAAAAATTGTTAATCTATTAATACATACAATTATAAAATAAGTTCGTTATTTTCTTCTCTCTTTTGATCCACGTAGTCGCAACATTGAGGGAGAAACGGCGTCTGGCGTCGAGGCTAGCGCTAGCCCTGCGCGTCGTCGTGTAAGCCCCATTTTGTTTCCGTTGTTGCAACGAGACTTCGTAGTCAGTACGTCCGCCAATTTCAGTGGTTTCGTATCGTGCGAAAGAGCTTCATTATTAGTTTGAGCTGATCGCAAATTGTGTAAACGTTCAGGTGAGTAGACTAAACTGCTTCGTCTCGTTTTTAATAATTATTCAGAAAAATTGCGAATTGATATACGAAACGTAAATCATATCGTCGAGCTTCAATGGGTCAATCGCGCCCGTGAAGCAACGTTTTCTACAAGCATTCGTTCTGCTTAACAAAAGTGCGAAGCGTCATTCACATTAACCTAACAATATTGTAGCTTTTTTTGACAAAAATGCATTTCGGAAAAATGCACACACGACCGCGCTTTGTATTTTGTTCATTTTTGTTAGATCAAAAAAAAGCAAGTCATTCTTCGTCGTCATTCCGCCATTACTGCAGCTTCGGAATCGTTTGCGGCGCAATTAACTGATGCGCGTTTGTATCGATCCGATGTGCATTGGCGGATAAACAGACGAAAATTCCAGAAATTTCGAATCAATCTCACTGCGCGTACATATAATCTTGCGCAAAAAATATTTTTCATTTGGTCAAATCATCATATGTACATGAGATATAGAGGATTATTCAACATTGATTTACTATAAATTATTTCATGGCGTTGAATAGCTATCAAAGGTCGTCTGATACAATATCTTTGTGTTTCAAAACATGTACGACACGTGTGACGCATATTTTCCGAAGGTTTCCGTACGTAAAACATGAAAGCGCTTCGTTGCTTATCATTCGTAAGAAGAAGGTCAATAATGATGCTTTCTATATATTCGTGTGAATAAGGTAGCAATGTACAATATATATATACATATATATATAATTAAATCATAAGGATAATTATATTATTAATTGATATGCAATAAAAATATATTTTTGTTGAAATAAAGCGGTATATTTGAGTTTTTTTACTTGTTCAATAAAGGATTATTTATAAACGCCTTTATTTTGTATTTATTTATAAATATTTTTTTTTTATTTTATATATTTTGATTGAAATTTCGAAAAATAGCGATTCTATTATGTTGTCATGTGACTAAACAGCAGGTTTTCCAGATAGCCTGTTATGTAAGGTGTTTTTATATTTTCCTTTAAGAATGAGCACCCGAGTATTCGTTGGTGGATTAACATACCGGGTGAGAGAGCGCGACCTTGAGAAGTTCTTCCGGAAATATGGTAGAATCAAGGAGGTCGCTATGAAGAATGGATTTGCCTTTGTGGTAAGTCTAATGTGGTTTAATTGTTTTTTTACAGTATGGTAGGGACAAGGGTCTATGTCGGTGGGCTTCCATACGGCACCAGGGAAAGAGACCTTGAGAGATTTTTCAGAGGCTACGGTCGATTCCGTGATGTTCTGATCAAGAATGGTTATGGCTTTGTTGTAAGTAACTGTATTCAGCTGTAAATACCAAGAATAACACTTTGCATCGCTCAATTTGGTCCTGCAATATTATCAATCAGTTCATTCTTTAACACTGTTTGCAACTCCAAATTTTATGTCTTTGTCTTTGTAATTGATGCACTGTTCAATGCTAAAACACGTTATAATTTCTAACTCTATAACTACCATTTACTACTTTTGAAGGCTTTTAAAAATGTATTTTTAAATTTTAATCTTGGAATATATTATAAGAAATTTTTTATGTTGAAAATTATTTGTTCTTGGTATAGCAATGCAATTGTAAAATGGACAAGTTTCGTTTTTGAGAAATGGTTTAGCCTATTCGTTATTATCATAATTCAGACCAAAATGGGTAGACTGCAATGTGTTAAATTACAAATGCAACTTGATAATCTGAGTTGGCCTGGCCTGAGCCCTGAGCACATTGGTACTGTGGCTGTTTAGAGGAGCTGTGTGCTGCTTATCGTCGATTATTCTGCAAAAGCTTTGTAAGTTATGTACAACCAGGAAAGAGAAATTATTTATCGTAGGCCATATACTATCAAATAATTATCTGTACCAATAATTCGAAACGTCAGGAGCACTTATTAATCCAGATTTTTTGCACTTTGCAGTATTTATTTTATAATATACAATTTATTTATTAATTAGACTAAATAATGATATATCCTATCCTAAAATTTCGACTCAAGCGTAGAAAAATTAATAAAATTATTACAAATATATTAAAGTCTTGTTATCTCTAACATCATGTACATGATTTACACTTTGTCAATAATGCAAATGATAATCTTATAATCTAATCTTAAAAATCTTTAGTTGACATTGCTATAACCAAAGTTATATTTTGTATAAAAATATATTGCTAATACATATATTGGATAATATTATCGTATGCAAGCAATAATAGCAATGTTACATTCTATTGCTAGATAATAATCTTTGTTTTTTGTTTTTTTTTTTTCGCAGGAATTTGATGACTATAGAGACGCCGACGACGCTGTGTACGAGCTAAACGGAAAGGAACTTTTAGGAGAAAGGTAATGCAAATTACCTACTATTTCACTTAGTGTATGAACATACATGTATTAGGCAATTACACTAGGCGGAATGGTATAGGTAGCATGTTTGCATGATCAAATAGTTTCCATTATAATCCATTTAGTACATGGATTATTAGTCTCATCACGTTAATGTTTGAATTAATCATCATCATAATATTATTGGTACTGGGGGTTCTCTATTTAAGCTAAGCAAGTTCTATAAATTACAATTTGTCGTGCTAACATTGAGGGTGAGATAAATTTAACATTGTTGGACTTAACTAATATTACGTAATAAATATAATTTCTTCCTACAATTTTTGCGCAATATCTTATATTTAATAATACGTTAACTGTGAACTTTTGCAACTTTGGGTGTATATTTTGTCATCTCTCTGTACAGAGATAAATTGAGAGAAATAATTCGACTACACAATTGACATTCTGTTATTAAGAGTGATGAAAAAATTGCTACTTAATATATATATATATCTTAATATAGTTAATTTGTAATAGTTTATTTTCAGTGGTGTATGCTGATATAATATATTTATAATGTCTTGTTATCTTAAGCAAATATAATTCGTTATCAATTTATCTTGCTCTTGCTACATCACTCGAGATTAGATTGATGATACACGAGAAGCAATAGCATTAGACTAAGGAAAAAAAAACTAAAATTTTGTTCTTTCACGCAAACTTCAAAATAATGTTCTCTAGAACACGGCAAAAATTTTCTTTTCTGTATGCTTGTCTCTTTCTTTCTGTTTTCCTTTTGGGAATTCATGTAAGTGCGTCATTAATATTAGTAGCTTCCTTTTAACGTACATTAAGCATTGAAAAGCTGATGAAATGCGGTCGAGCGAGAATATTCTTAACACTCTAATCGCATTATGTTTCAACCTGTACCAGTAATATTACTCGCTGTTGCTTTCATTTGATTAAAGACAAATGTATAATGCACAATTATCTGCTCTCATTAAACGGATATACCGTTAATGCCTTTGATTTTGCGTCTTTAGTAAACGGCGTCTGTCCTCCAAATTAACGATTGGATCTTTACCGTGGTAAAGAAAAACTGCGTCTTAAAAAAACCGTCGAGACTTACCGCCATTTTGAACTACTTCCATCAATTCCCCGAGTCGAAAACAATTGTTAAAATAATTATAATATGTTCGTTATCACGTCTGAAAGAATGTTATATTGCTTCTTTTTTACGAAAGAGCGTTTGACACATGCGCTTTTTTATAATTTTATCGTGTGATCCTGTGTAATGTGTACCGTGTGTCATTTAATCTAGATAGAAAAAGAAATGGATACAAATAAGAAACGAGGAAATGTCAAAATTATACGGATCACAGATGTAATTATGAAAAGGCGGTGGACGTGGTGAAAGAAAACTCGAACTCGGTGATAAGTAGTGTTATAAGGAAGGCAGCTTAGGCTAGGGAACGAGGACGAGTCGTGAGAGAAAGATAATAGAGCGAGAGAGAGAGAGAGAGGGAGAGAAAGGACAGCGCCTCAGACGAGACCAGACGATAGAGATACTGAAAGAGAGACTGATGATATTTGAACGGATTTTCGGGGGAAAGGAGGACTGAGGAATGGAAAGAAAAGGAAGGAAAGAAGCTTTAGAGAGTAAGAATTAGTCGTGGACTTAGGCGGGGTTTTGTTGGGTGTGTTTCAGAGTGGCGGTGGAGATAGCACGGGGTGTTTCAGGGAGGCGAGGCGACCGTGGCTACGGACGCTCACGCTCCTGGAGAGACAAGTAAGCATATCCAATGTGTCTTGTTACAGAATTACTGTAGAGAGGGCCCGGGGGACACCTAGGGGTAGTGACCAGTGGCGCTATGGTGACTCCCGTGGTGGTTATGGGGACTCGAGGCGATCTGCGTAAGACACGCTATCCTTTTTTTTATTTTATCAAGAGCGATCATTATCCCCTCCTCCCCTGCAGGCAGCCGGGCTCGGGATGTGCGAAATCTAGACGAAAATTAATTGACTCGCTTTTTACCGGTCTTTTCTCATTTTGTCTTCCGTTTTATACAGCTTTTTAATTTTATTTTTGCTTTTTTAATTCTCTTCTCATTACAGTCATATTTTGGTTTCTTTTTACTCTCTTGCTTTTCTCTATTTTCTTTTTTTCTTTTCTATTTTTTTTCTATTTTCTTTTCTATTTTTTTTCTATTTTCTTTTCTATTTTCTTTTCTATTTTCTTTCCTATTTTATTTTCTATTTTACTTTTTATTCTACTTTTCATTCTATTTCTTTTTCTCGTTTTGTACTGCGTAATCGATTTCGCACATCGTCCGCACAGGGAAGAACGTAACCTTGGATATTGATAAGCTCTAGCGTAGAAAGAGAGCGTAGAGAAAGCATAAAAAGACAAGCAATGAACCGCGTTGCAAGTTTCTCTTGCATTCGCGCATATAAAAGTACATTCATTCAATTAGATGACAAGAAGATCTTTTATCTTCTGAATTGGTTGTCTTGGATTTGACTACTCTCTCGAGTACGTCGAATTTTCAAAGTTATGCCGCGATTAAAAAAGTGATAGCAAAATAAAACGCCTAGCGATCACCCTCCCAAACATTATTGTTTATTGCTGGTAGTTGAGTGAGATGGACCGATGATAATTGATGACTAATAGATTTGTGGTATTATGTTTGTTACAGCCGAGACGATATGCGGCACGACAGGTACGCTATTGCTGCATTTTGAATAGATTTGATTCGATTGGAACAGGTGATTGATTGTGTGCCTGAGCAATGAGTGCAGATCTGTAGTTATTTGCTGAAGGTTTAACCCAACGATCCGTTATTTCTGTTCACATGACATCCCTTTTTGCAGAGATAGTGTGAACAGAAACACGAGGACTGCATCTAGCTACAAGCAATCATTGCCCAGGTACATACATCTAATGTTACGCTCTAACGATTTACAATTTAACTTACACAAACTTTGCTGTTGCAAGTGTCTTAAGAATTATATCAGTATTGCGTTTTTTATATACCATATACTTTTTCTCACATTCGCTATATAAATATATATATTATATATTAACGTAAAGTCAGGTCCAAGACAAACCTGCTTGCTCTTTAGAGATAAACAAGGATAATAGCCGGTCTTTTTCCCATTGTAGATATGGACCACCAACACGCACCGAGTATCGCCTCACCGTGGAGAATTTGTCAAGCCGCGTTAGTTGGCAGGTAAGCGCCACATATATCTCGCTTTTCTCTTTTTCTCTTTTTTTCCTTTTTTGTTTGAAACTTTAACCGATTCGATATATTACCGTTAGTTTGATTACTGCTCGAGATTCCAGTGAAAATGTTACACCGCTTTATATATTTATATATAAATATATATATAGGTTTTTTCGAATCTGTATATCGCTGAATTTCTAAGTTTTACCGAGTTTTCTGCAGTTGTTTGTGCCAAATTCTACGCGTGTCGGTATTTATATTAGCATTTCTTTCTTTTATTCAATTCTTTTTCGTCTCATTTTATGTTCATTTACTCATTATAAAAAAAAAAGAGAGAGGCCTATTTTGGAATCAAAAGATGTAACATTTTGATCAAGTAAGTCTGTGGCAAAAGTCGAAGTCAAATTTCCACATATACATATGTGCAAAAGTCACTGTTCAAACGGAGAGATAAAGAAGCAAAGAAGGAAAATGTGAAAACGGAAAACTACGGAGAAAGTGATGCAAAGCGTACTACATCCGACACGAGGAGACACAGGCATGCACGGAGGAACCTCAGAGTTAGCAACATCCGATGATAAAACGAACGCAACCGGACACAAAGAGGTTTAGCCATGAGGACGCCATGGACGAAGAGCTGTAAAGCGGAAGAAACGGAGCAACGGAATATGGAGTGCATATGGAGGCGAGACAAAGCAATACAGATTAATGCAAACGATATGTGGGAAATACCAGGACGCAAGTAGACGCTTCGAATCAAACCAAAAAGACAGGAGGTCCCCATGTTCAGACAGACGAATCGAAATCGAGATAAACGCAAAAATTGCCTTGTGAACCAAGTCTTACTTGATCAATTTACATTGCTGATAGGTACATATTCGTACCTATAATCTATATCTATCGTTGCACTTTTCCGATGATTGGTTGTTATTTGTCGAAAAGATCTTTTTTCTCACTCAGTCGAGTCTCGATTGTTCGGCGTTACTTTTTCTCAATTTATTATTTCGTTTACGTTTCGGCCAGCAGTTTTGAGAAAAAAGCAAAATAAAATTGATGTTCTTTCCGAAGAGCCATGTCCTCTTCGCCGAGGAGGGGCGACCGGTAGGGCCAATAGACTGATGATGTGCGATGATAGAGATGACGATGCACGCGATGGGCTCGCCTTGAGGTCAAGTGGCACCAGGTTGGTTTCTGAGGTGTCCCGGGTGACAGAGAGAGCCGCGTGGCACTTGGGGTGTACACCTACCACCACCTATCCAACCACCATGCTACTACTCGCGCGCAGTGATACGTGGTGAATCCCGGTGAAATCCCAGTGATAGGTTGTTTGTGCGTATCCTCTTCATCGTGATCACTGGGAAAAAAAAAAGAGCGAGCGAGAAAGAGAGAGAGAGAGAGAGAGAGAGAGAGAGAGAGAGAGAAAGAAAGAAAGAAAGAAATAGAGAGAAACAGAGAGAGACCCAACCGCTGCTATTTTATCCGTCTGGGAGACAAACATTATGTACATAAAAACAACCACTACCAATACATTCACCACTTTTGCCATGTCGATTCTACAAATCTACATGGTCATAATTCAGTACTTTCACCATCGAACATCATTACAACCACCATCATATCTACCACTTCACCGTGACTGTCACTGCCACTGGTACTGCCACGCAACCTAAGCCATCTAGTAAGTCAGGCAGCGGCCACACCCATGAGGGCATACGCGGGCCGATACCCAAACCGTCCGCGACTGCGCCACGCAGATCCGTTCGACCCAACCGAGCGCCGTGTGTGTCTGGCCTTTCTCTCTGTCCGTAAGCAAGGTGGTGCCTGGGCCCAAGGTAAATGCGTCACCTTAACCGAGTGTACTCTTAGATCTACACACACATATATTATATATATATATCTATTATAACTATACACTTAAACGTGTCTTTTGTATACTATATATATATTGTTATATAATACCTACCTACTTTATTACTTAATATTACTGTGCACTATAGCTCAGGCGTTGCGTTGAGACAATTCACGAAGTCGTGCACGCGCAACTCAACTCGGTACCAACGTCAGGAGACCACTTAGTTACTATATTCCTGTGCTCGAAATTAGGCATCCGCTCGTTACTCGACTGCATGTCTCGTGTCTTCGCGCGACTTTAACGTCAACATCGACATTCTTACGACACGCGTGTTTTACGTACATCCGAATTTTTTTATTCGAATAGCGAGAAATCAACTTTTCATTTATGCAAGGCAATTGTATCATTACAGTCTTTTGGATATAGCACGCGAGGAGCGATATGTCAGAAGAGATTTACGCAACGTCGGAAGTATCTTCAGTATCCAAACGCTGAGAATTCCGTTCTCTTTTCTTTTTCTTTTTTTTTTCCACAACATGCGAACACTTGCGCTCGGCGAACACTTGGGAGGCATCTCAGAAAGAATCGTTCTTCGATGAGCCGCAGATAAGGAGACGTCTGCGTTCTTTCATGCACTGATCATGCAAAACGACCGGCATGTAGGGCATATCTACCCGTCATCTACCTCGACAACACTAAAGCCGTACCTGGTTCCCACAGAGAGAAAGATACAAGCACATCTTCCAGTGACGAATGAACGTAAACTGCAGACAATATCCACCTAAAACTACGTCTTTTACGAGGAATGAAGATCCGGGCGTATGTCGAAGAGACAACAGAACGGAAAGAGAACGAATAATATGGAAGAGACACCACGCTCGCAAACTCGCAACATTAAGAGAAGATCCACGATGTAACAAGAACGGGAGAGTGCTCGACGCAAACTCAGGATTGTTTTATTTCTAGCGAGAAATTGATATAACTTTCATTGTTTTACTTTGGTTCAATCTTCACATTTTTAAATCTTGCTTTTTTGTATTCTAGGAACTTAATAGATCCTGCTTAGCTTAATTACTATATGTATATGTTTTATTTTGTTTTGCTTTATAGAATGATTCTTTTACAGATATGCACAATTTTATCTTTAAAAAAAAAAAATTATTGAATAATGTACTGAATCTAAGGATATATTAGTTGCATACATACCAATGTTTTTTTTTTTTCTTATCAACTGTAGAAACTATTGCAAAAATATCGTATTCATTACTTTTATGATTATACTGTGTTTGTGAGCCGTTCTGCAGAAATAAGAATATGCTTTTTAAAAATGACAATTTATCGATTTATTATGCGTGAATTTTTAGAATTGGATAAATTAAGATTGCATTATAAATTCACAAAGATTAAAACTTAATTAATTGTTCATTTAGATTACGTTATAAATGTTTCTGCTGAACGGAGTTGTATATGAAATTATGGCTATATTTTATTTTAAACATTGAATTGCATAAAAAGAAAGGTTGCATTGATAGTAGATACTAAATTCGAGCACATAATTTATAATATCGCTCAACACTCAAGACGTGGGCAGACATAGACAGTGTGCTATGCTTATCTCTTTCTTCAGTCCAGTAAACCCAAGTCCTGCAGGAAAAAGAGATCGAAGTAGAACATAACGTATGAGTGCACAGGATATATTTTAACCTGCGCGATACATCTCAGACTAGGAACACAGTGTAGTACTTCATAAGCAACTACTAATTCTAAATCTATCCGCATATTTGTACAAATTCGTATCCGAAATATTAATTCCGGCTTTTGTGTGATGTTCAGGATTTGAAGGATTACATGAGAAGTGCTGGAGAAGTAACATATGCTGACGCTCATAAGCAACGTAGAAATGAAGGGTACGTGATATTATTGATCATGAACGTAATAAGTGAATTCAATTGCGTTAGCTTGTATTATTGTACTTTAACGATCGAAATTTGCAATTTTTCAGAGTCGTTGAATTTGCTACGTATTCCGATTTGAAGAACGCTATTGATAAATTAGATGACACAGAATTGAATGGCCGCAGGATTAGGCTCATCGAAGACAAGAGACGTGGTCGTCGTTCAAGGTCTTCTAGTTCCAGATCGCGTTCACGATCCCGGTCCAGATCCCGTCGTCGATCACGCTCTCGCTCAAGGTATAATCGTCGTTCTCGATCCCGATCAAGGTATTGTCGGAGCGATTTTATGTCACCTGTTATTTTTTTTTCTATTATGTACTTTTATTTAAATTGTTTTTGTAGTTTGCTTTACAATTATTTATTATAAATTGATTAATTTATTTTCTTACTTTTTTATTTTCTTAATTTATTTTTATTATTTTTACTTTGAATTATATTTTAATCATATTGTATTCTTAGTTTTTACATTAAAATCTACATAGTATCCTAATCTTTTACAAAACAAATTCTTTAATTGGTTTATTTGATCATACAAAGTCATTTTTTTTCTACATATTGTCGCAAAACTTGTAAAATTTATCGCAAACGATGCTAATCCTGCGATAGTTTTACAGAGATTGGTTTGAAAATACATCTTATTGTGCTTTTCTTTTATATACGCAGGAGCCGTCGCAGTTCACGCAGCCGCAGTCGTCGCAGCAGCCGTTCCAAATCAAGGGCACACTCCAAGTCCAAATCCAAATCTAAATCCAAGTCCCCCGAGCGTAGTCGCTCACGCTCAAAGTCCAAGTGAGTATTTCCAAAAGATCACTACTTTCTACATCACAATTGTCTCATCCTCAACCGTTTACTCCTTCGTTCATATCTGTATGTTTATTTTACTTGTTTTATATTTTTTTCTTGCGCAGTTATCAGTCGTCACGATCAGCGTACACATTCATTCCCATTTATTATTGGCATTGTTTTTGGGCTGGCTACGTGCCTTGAGCTCTCACGCTTACTCACGCTTTACACGAGTTCACTTATTTCAAGCGCGCGCGCTTGGACAGAAAGAAAAGCGAGTTTCTTTGTATTTTGTTCACTTTCTCTTATCTTCGTCCCCCTTTCATTTTAAACTATAATTTTGCAGATCAAGAGACCGCTCAAAGTCGAAATCTAAGTCAAAGTCCAAATCCAGATCTCGTTCTAGGTCCAAGGCTGAGAGGTCAAAGTCCAGGTCGCAGTCCAAATCCAAAGCCAAGTCTCCCTCAAAGTGAGTCCTCTCGCTCGCCTTTATCATTGTAATCGATATATATTTGGCGCAAGAAAAGCAAATCTCGAACGATGGCGTGAATGAATGTCTAATATGTCATTTTTCTTTTTTTTCTCCTCCGTTCGTCATTTTAGGGATAGATCGAGCCGCGAGCGTTCAAGAGGCGACAGATCCAGATCGCGATCGGGAAGCAAACACAGCAAGAGTCGCAGCCATTCTCGCTCCCCCATGAACGGTGATAAGTCTCCGGAAAGCAGCAAACAGAAAGCTGATTGAATGAAGAACATTAACAAAAATAAACAACTGTTATTTCTCTTTATGTCTTTTTTTTCTTTTTTTTTTTCTTTATATTGAGTCACAATCAACAGTTAAATATCTCATACCTTAAAATTTCCATCGTGTTAATTATCATGCAAAATTTTGCAAATTTGCAAGAGTTCCAAACAGTTTTTTAAAACTGGAAGACGTACGTAAAGTCTGTTAAAAAAGTTTCACCATTTCGAGAGTTCAAAATATTCAATCGGCTTACACTTAAACGGTTCATGCTACTATTGAAAGGAAACGTGTGGATTTTTAAAACTGCACTATTAATTATCTCATGTCTTTTTTTTTATTAAATTTTTTTTTTTATGTTAGTACACATCATTCAACTCTGATTCCGCGCATTTAGACAGATAATTCTTTATTCGTACCTTCAACTACATGGATTTTAATGTATCTCCGTATAATAAGAGTTTCCTCAATGGCTTTTTGTATATATTCCTAACGATTACATTACAATAAGGTATGTGATGTGTATTAAATATTTAGTGATAAGAGGTATCTTATTGTCAATAAAATTTCACGTCAAGGCAAATTAAATGCTTTGTATTTAATCGTAAACTATTTTATTCCTCGTTTCTTCAGAATATCTAAGTTCACTTTTGTGGAATAAAAAAATTTTTTTTTCTACTATTGAATCGCAAAGGATAACTTTTTGTTTGGCATAAGTAATGTAAAGAATTTATAAAACAACGAAACAATTATTTTTCTTTTCTCTAATTATAGGCTTTTTGTTACAGAAAAATGAAATTTAGTTGGCTCGAGTCAATGTGACTAATAATCTAATGCAGCCAAGTGTTTCTAATTAACAGAGTTATTATCTCGCTGGCTAAGTTATAATTGAATGCGATAAATCTCGACTAGGATTAAAATATAATTAATAATCAAGGTTTGTGTCGCCAAGACACAAACATAGTTAAATATCAAGAATTTTATTAATGCAATCATATCATTTCTAATTTAGTTACACGCTTTCATCTTTTTTTTACACCGCAGATTACCCATTTACTCCATCTTGCTTACTCTATGCGCAAACTAATTTAGAATGGAAGCGACGGAAGTCGAAAAATGATTTCGATCTCTGATTAAATGGAACTCAACGTGGCCGGAACGTATGACGCGCAGGGCTCTGCACAAAATCCGGATGAGTCAGCGGTGTACGTCAACCCCTGATATTTTCGTGCACCGCTTTTTTCCCCGCTATCATGGCACAAATAAATTGCCTCCAAATTGAGTTCTCCAGCTGGAGAACGAGTAATAAAGTGTAAGAAGAAAACGGGACGACGCAAAAAAAGACTCGTCGCGAGGAAGCCGTTCAATGTCAGATCCGCGACGCCAGCTATGCGTCGAGCGTGAATTCCCAGTCGTTGGCGAAGGGTGAGTCAGCCACCCCTCCGCATGACGGTCAAGGAGACGATCAGATGCGTGTGCAGACGGATGGGGGGAATGAAGGAGAGGAACATGTTTAATCGGTATGGTTGAAGAGGTAAAAGCCTGGCGTCGATTGGCCCTCATTCGTGAGCAGTGGGGACCAGTTCAGGAACGAATATGCGCTCATAAAATTTCGGAATGTAAATTTATTTTGTTTATTTGTTATAAATAAAAAATCAATATAAATGAAATTTGAAGGATTTCCTAGAGCTACTTTTAAAATGAAATTTAAGAATAATATTAATATTAATTAGATTAATGATGAAATTAATACTAATTAGATTAGTATTAATCTAATTAATATAAATATTAAAATTAATTAGATTGTTGATACTAGTCTATTAAATTTAATTACATTATTAACATTAACATTCAATTCTTTCAGCATATTCGTAATACATTATGCAAAAAATAAATGAAATAATATAAATAGAATTTGAAAAAATTTTATTGCACTGTTGTTAATATTAAATTTAATTATACATATTATTAATGTTAACATTCAATTCTTTTCTAAGATATTGTGAAGCATAAGATAAATCAAGTTTAAAGCATTTATTTAGATACTTTCCATTATTAATATAAAATTTAATGATTATGTTAATATTAATATTCAACTTTTCAGCATGTTCTTGATGTGAAGAACGACGTAGATTCCGTCGAACCCTTTTTCGCGCCGATCCTGGCGCGAGAAAGGGGCCTGTTGTCCGGAAAGAGGAAAGCTGCAAGTAGTGGGAGAAACGAAACGGCGGGCGCTGTTGTTACCTGGTGTTACGCACCGCAGAAGCGCTAACCGGTTGTTCAGTGTACAGCTTCGTTTCTACGTTTGAACAACGTACGCTTTTTGCTCACCAGTGTCCGCGTCTGCCTGCGCCTTAGAGACTCGCTCTCATCACTGACAGGTCAGTGCACCCCTTTCGATCGTCGCGAGTTACCGGATTTCCCTCACGGCGATGCGCGTTCAATGGCAGATTAACGGCCAGCCATCGAAGCGAATCGGCCCGTACATGATAATATCTTAAACTAATATCCTGCGTTGTACGGAAAGTTTATTAGGAAGCTTGGCTTCCTGGACAGATAACAGAAAGCGATTACGAGTGTCGCCTTTTCTCTCGTTCTTTCTTTCGCGATCAATTTTCAATTTAGAGAAACGAAGAAAGCTGGCTCAAAAATCTGCCATTGTACATTGTCAAGATTTAGGGTACTATGTGCGGCGGTTCCCCTTCACAGTGTAAAACGCTTGATATCAGCTTCCATCTCGCTTGAAAACCGTGAACTTGATGGAACTAACCTGGCGACTTCACTTCTGGAAGTGGCGTGACTGAAATTTTGAAGGTTTCTCTAATCTCTTAGTTTTGAATCAGTGAAACTGTTAACAGCGTTATCACCTATTATTATGAGTTCAATTATCGTCATTTTAGTTAAGTTTAAATTAAACTAATTTTGCTAAATTAATTGAATTATTTCAATTTATTAGAATTTCTCATTTCTTCGCTTGGTAACTTGCTGTTAACATCATTTGCTTTTCATATTGTTACACTCGATAATAGCGTTATAGGAGTTGTCGGTGTTATCGCCGAGTTCGCGTTCCGACATTATAAACATGCGGAACTAAGTAGTACATTTATTAAGATAGAAATACGACTGATTGAAGCGTGAACTTTATATTGGCGTGTTTGTGACAATTAAATTCAATGTTCACTACAGACGAGCGTGAAGGATCTCGGTGTTTAGGGCAGTAACGAAAACGTGACGCTTGAAGTGAATTTCCCGTGAATAGAATGGCGAATTATTCCGAAATTGCGTGTTCTTCGTCGCCGATCGAGTCTGTATCGCGATTTCGATCAACGTGATCGAAAATGGACCCAGGGGTGTGGTCGATAGGCGTCTCTTTCTCTCTCGTAAAACGGAAACGACACACTTGATTTCTTTTCTCGATAATCGCACAACGATATCGCGAATGAATATTCATTCTTGGAAATATGAGAGTTGAACGAGACGCGAAATTATGAACAATGATACATTGTTTTAATGATGATTGTGCCATATAATTGCTATCGTTATTTTCGACAATAACGTAAAATGAGAAGGGCTTAATTATTCTGAAACATCGCTAAATTGAAATTCTTAGTTGATAGGAATTGTTCGTAATGTACGCGTTATTGCTGATACTTTATATGTATCGTTTTATATATCGTTGCAGTTATGCATACATGAGGATCGATAAGATTAACGAGCAAATTAACGAACCTGAATTAACGAGCGAACTGCACAAACTTGAAGCGTTTTTGATGAAGACAATTTCGAGCGCTCGGAGAAATTAATTTTAGAGATATTCATGCGCTTTTATCCACATTCCAATGTCAAATTAAAACGTAGATGCGTGATTTTATTTAAGTGTCCATTAAACGCTCTTTATACATTTTTTTTATCAATCTGGATTTTTTTGTTAATTATATTTTTGTTTCTTACTATATTTTTATCTGTTTAAGAGATATTTTATCTTTTTAAGAGATATTTTTAATGATACAATATTATTTTTAATTAAACATAAATTAACAATCAAATCTTTCTTTTAGAGTGAAATAGACTTCTTTCATTGTGAAGAATGTTTAGGTACCTTCTCGTCCTTCTTCGTCCTTCCTCGTGTAGCATACAACACGAGTAGGTAGAATAGAAGGGCGTGGTTTGACAGATGCATACGCGGCGTGCACGCATACTTATCTTCCTTTCGTCGTCACCGTCGTCGTCATCGTCGACAATCTAGTGCTCATTTCGCGTGCTCAAGCATCGTACATTTAACGCTTTCTTGCAATTATAAGAGTTTCACGAAGTTTAACATTAATTACGAGTTTTATTTTCATTTTATAATTACCGAATATCTTTTCAATATTAATATTTTAGTATAGACATTTAAATAAATACAAGTATAAATATTTTGGCGTAAACTATTTTTTATTAAATAAACGATTTTTATTTCGAGATTGTCGATATTAAATACTGATATTACAATAGTTGATATACTTTTTCATTTCGATGCAATCCAAAATATCGTTCTTAATGAATATAATTATAATATCGTTAAAAGTGCAGATGCTAAATGCAAATCGTGTATACCGTTTTTAATTCCGAGGGAATGTGCATAGTCAAAAATGTGCGTCGTACATTTGTTACCGTATCGTACAACACAATTGCGGCGGTTTTCCACGCCTCGTGTTTTCCGAAGGGAGAACCATCGTGGAAACATTTGCATTTTATCATGTCCCGTGCGCTCATTTCAAGGCGAACGAGGGGCTTCTGTATACTCCGTCGCGAATTATGCGCGCTTCCATGCAATCGCGTTTGCCCGGCTTGCTCGTGATTAGCGTCTCTGTGGAAACCGTTAATTACACTCAGAGGGTTTAATCTGCGTCACACTTGAGTCACGAGTTTCGATGTCGAGTAATGTCGATTTTGTCGTCATTATTCTTGATCGCAAATCGCGCAATCAAGGCCGCGACCTGGACCGTCTGCCAAGAGATACCACCCTCTTTTATCCGTGACCATGAAAACCGGGATGCGGCCGCCGAGCGCATATAGAGTCGCGGGAGTTCACGAACCCCGCTCACACTCTCGCCGGGCGATGCCGGCATCGCCAATCGATGAAACCGTCTGCCGCGGCAGCTACCGCCTCCGCCGCTGCGGATCGACCGCTCCCCTGGCGTAACCTCGGAACCCGCGTCAATGCATCCCCGCGTGAGATGCGCGCACCCCCTATTCATTCATGCTTCGCAAATAGAAGTCCGCACGTGCCTCTATGTGTGAGTGCGCGCGTGTGTGTCAATATTAACACACGATTATGTTATCAGAAGGCGAGCCTTCTGATGATCGTTGAGCGAAATCTAGTTAATCAATATCCTTAGGCTCCGTTACATAAACGGTGTTGACTATTATGCTCATCGTGAGATATGATTTGTATCTATGTGTGTACATTACGCACACATGCATGCGCATATAGCGCACTATCTCGGGAACCTGGAAAACTCTTGGAAAATTTAAGGAATTTTATCAGAATTCCAAACATTTTTGTCGAAAATGTCGAATCTTTCTATTTTGCCGTTATATTGTGA